AACTGGGGATTCTAGTTCAAAATAAATAATTAATCACCGATCACCGCTATGTATAAACTAAAAGACTATTGGAAGATACTTATAATGCATTGAAAATAAAATTCCTCATGAAATGATAAACGCGTGATTTAATAACAAAATTCACGGATTCACGTAATTGCATATGTGAATTTAACTACACGTGAAAAAGAGACCTCTGTTATATAATAAGTCATAATCATAAGTCATAACACTCAATAACTAAAGCGCGGATTTGTATGCATTTGCATATTTATTCTTATTAATCGTATGTTATGCTAAGTGAGCATAAAATTTGTTTCATCACAACGATTTAAAAAAATGAAACTTTTTTAGCGTATTTTTTTGAATATTTTGATATTTTTCTAATTTAAAGGCTTATGTTTTACAATTTTAATTGCATATTGCATCTTTTAGTGCATATTTTGACGTTTTTTTAGATATTTTTTTAAATATATACTATTGCAGTCTATTATAAGAAAAAAATATTATATTTATATAGCTTTAATTGATATTAAAATAAATTAATAGGTATAAACGGTTTTTCCAAAAATGACCTTAGATCATTAATCGGGGAAGTAAAATATTTAGATTAATCTTATCAAGATAAGAAAATATCAATTTCGGCTATGATTGAACACTGGCAATATTTGACTGTTATTCAAAAACTAATTTTTTTATGCATATTATTATTTTATTTTTCGTGCATATTTTAACATTTTAGTGCATATATTAATGCAAATTGCAAATTTAAGATTTTAATGCATATTTGGTTGGTTTTTAATGCATATAAATCCGCGCTCTAGTCATAACTCATTAGTACCATAATGGGGGGAGCAAAGTGGGTATTTACTCTTGTCTGCTATTAAAAGCAAATCAATGTCCCAACGGGGCAGTAAATGGTAAAAAAACATGGCTATTTTTAGAATTTTGAGGATATATTATAATAATTAATATTATTATGCACGTAAGTAGGTATTCAGAAATCATTGTCACATTAGAAATTACTAAAATGTTTAGCTTTTTAGACAGAATATTAAACAACCTGTGGTTGTTAAATAAGTGGTAATGACATTGTGTTTGTTGAGTGAAGTGATTTTATCATAAAAAAACTAAAAATACTACACCCGCGTAAGTGTTTTCATTGACTTACTTACATAATACGACAAAGCGAATTTACGTTCAGTTATTCCATTTCTGTGAAATACCTAACATTTAGGGTTTAATAATAGCACAAATTAAATTAAATGTTTAGTTTTATTGTTTAAAATATTTTAAATGTCCGCTCTTTTATTTTTTGTTAGCATCGCACAATGTTGTAGTACGCTATTGATCAGTTGGTCACACTGCAAGCCAAACATTTTAACATTCGTGTTATTTTCTCTGATGCTTGATGATTATTTACTATTGCAAAATATCAAATTGAAGTGTGTTAACACGTTAAATTCTAGTAATTCTACGTATCCTTGTTTTTTCCTTATTAATTCAATCGTTAATGCCAACTTCAATTTCAAGATTCTCCACTTCTTAGACAGCAACAATTTGATTACATATTAAGTTTAGATCTCGTTTATATCTGTTAATTAATAATTTGTCCATTTAAAATACTAATCTAGACCTCTGGTACGGCAAACATAAACCATGTCTGCGCACGACCAAATGAGAGCCATGTTAGACCAACTCATGGGCACTGGCAGAAACGGTAAATTCAAAACCTCCTCAAAACAATTGTTATTATATGCTATGAATCTTTTTATTATTATTTCTTTGATTACAGGGGAAACAAGTAGATATCAAGTGCAGTTCAATGATCCAAAAGTCTGTAAAAGTTTCTTATTGTATTGCTGTCCTCATGATATATTAGCATCTACCGTAAGTATAGACTTATTATTTTACTATTTAAAATTAAACAATTGATCGTTTTTATGCTGTTAATATTGTAATTCCTGTTCAATAAAAATAAAAATATTACGTATTAGGAGATATGAAATGCGTTTTGTAACCTAGAAGAAAATATAATAAAAATCCATTTTGGTCACAAAAATCTATCATTCAGTTAATATAATATTTATTATAATATTCTAATATTATTCTAAAAAGTATAAATTCAAAAACATGAATGTAGGTACATATGTTTAAATGATGCACAAAAAATATTTATATGTTAATATGGAATTTGTTGTTTTCTCTCAAGTAAAATTAGTGTTACAAATTTGCAATTTACAATATTTAACATTTGTTCATAGCATTTTTTGATGTACAAAAGACTTATCTTTCTTTTTTATAGTGTATACTGCATACAGTGATGTATGGACATGGGGTATAAGCATTTTAAAATATAAAATACTTTTTGTCAATAATTTTATAACTAATACTTTTTAAATAAATTTGAAGTTTTTGTATTGAAATTAAAATATTTCATGTATGATATACTTAGGGATAAAATATTCTAGAATTATTTTATGTACCTACAATTCTCAAATTAAAACCTTAAGTCAAATAATATTATTGCTAACAACTTTATAAATATATAAATAAATGAAAATATTTGTAAACCAAGAACTAATTGCATGTCTATCTACTTATTATTTTATTATTATTACTATTATTATTTATTGTGATGTATTATTATTATTTTGGAATGTCTTAATATGTTCATAATATTAACAAGACTATTTCCAATTTCAATATATTTTTATTAAAATAATCATTCTAGATATTACTTGTTACCAGTACTAACTAAATAAAAATAGAAAATAAAGCAAAATACTACTTAATTTTTAATTATGTTTTATTACATCAAACTCTAACAATGTTATTAAATATGCATCATTGAATCATGTTTAGGTACATAGAATGAATATGAATATTACTAATATTTTACATATAACATTTATCAGTATGAACATTTTTATTTGCCCTCTTCTTTTAAACTTAATTAAAAATTTTATATAGTAAAAAAAAAAGTTGTTTGTAGTCATATGCTACTCAATAAATAATATTTATGATATATTTAATGAATTTTATGTAATATGCTTGTTTCCCTTTAATATTTTAATTCTAAGATAAAACAATATTTTCTTTTAATTACAACTGTAAATTATCTATATGTATATATCATTGCACTAAAATATCTAAGCACAAATTTATACTGAGTAGATCTTATTGTATATTATTGATAATATACATATTTATGTTATAATCTATACTTATCAGATTCAAATAAAATATACCAATTAGGTACCCAATAAATAAATATTATTCTTATTTAAAATTGGCATGTTAATAAACAAATTGGCCTAGGTCCACGCATAAAAATTTTAATTTTTTTTTTTTATTTAAATCAATAACATGGATTATTTTTAATATTTTCATTATCATTATTAAGATTAAAAATTTGGTGACAGCTAGTTTGTTTAAATCACAAATCATATATAACTAACATGTAGGTAATATTATCAAAGTCTGAAAAATCATCTGTTATTGTGAGTATTTGTATATATGTTGATTAATTTGTATTATATTCATTATTTTATAATTAACATAATTTGTAGTCTTAATTTTTTTGTATAAACTTGATACTACATAATAGTATGTATTATGTACAAATTATTAAATTGTCATAATAAATTAACACAATACTTCCAAGAAAAAATGTAAGTAAACAATTTTTGGGTTTTAATTATGTATACTTTTTCTTTATCAGGGAAAAATAATAGTTTGAACATGTTGAAATGTTCATACAATTATATAGGTAGTTATTTTACAAAATATTGCTGATTAAAATCTATCATTTCTAATTGTACTCAATATTATATTAATATTTTGTAAATTTAGAATTTTTAAATTAATAAACAAATATTATTGAGTTCATTGAATAATATTAACTTTAAGACATAATTAAGAACAAAAAATGTTTCATTTTGTTATTTTATGGAATTTAAGATTTTGTAAATTTATATTTTCTCATTAATAAACCATTAAATAATTACCTAATAATAATAATAATAATCAAACTTTATAATATGAACTAAGAATATTATTATCATGTACCAATAACACTAATATTTAAGTTAATATTACATTATTACTTATATTTTAAGTTGTTAATTTAAAAATAATAAAATGTAATAGCTAGGAAGCAGATAACTATCTTATAACTATATTTCTAATATTTAATATGAAGTGATAAATATAGTGTGGATTTATATGCAATAACATATTTATTCTGGTTGATTGCGGGTTAAATAAAGTATGAACAAAGTTTGGCTGAGAGATTAAACATATGAACATTTTTTGTTTTATTTTGACCTTTAAATGTTCATATTTTTATTTTACTATGTTAACGACATATTTCATCAATTAGTGCAAATTAAGTGTTTTTTTAGACATTTTCAAAGAATTTCAAAATTAATTATTTTTTTTTAATTTTTGATTCACATTGAAATAATTTATATAGATAATATAAAATACTGATTTTCCTAAATATATCCAACTGTTGTAATATCTTTAATGGTGTTTAGCTATCAGTAAATATTAAACTACGCTTGATTTGTTGTCTTCGTTTTACAAGTTTGTAATATAGTAAATATATGTTTAGCTATTCATATTTAGTTTTATTAGTTAATATATAAATAGTTAAATACTTCTATAGTTACATTTTTTATCTATGGATATGAATTTTTGGTTATATTTTTTTGACAATCAATTCAAAAATAATTATAATTATTTTTTTTAAACAATATATAATGATACTACAAAATTACAAACTTTTATATTTCTACAAATCTGCTTCCTAGTAATAAATAATAAATTAAACTATCAAATTTTTTTTCTTTATAAATTTAATATTATAATATTTAACAGTAAAATATTTAAATTTCAATTAGACATTCTATTATATATTATATAACACTCATTTTAACAATTTTGCATTTATTAAAAAATAAAATAAACTTTTATGTGGAGTTCATTCAGTCCTTTTTGTAATTTTTTTTTTTTTTTAATTAGTTATAGGGTAAATTTTCTTTTATTTCTATATTGTTCACTATTCTTTAAAAGAACTTATCTACAAAGCCTACCATGATATCGACAAATCTTTTGTGAGTAGCTCATAATTATCTTAAGTTACCGATTGGTATTATCTACCAAAATTATTCTGAAAATATAGCTTCATCGAAGACAGTACGTACATCAACTCAGTTAATTACGTCTATTTGAATGCGAATGTTTTACTCTTAATCCTGATTATTGTCACCCTCTCTAGGAATAGTCAAAAACGAATTGAGTTTTGATTCGTTTCAAGGCAATGATACAAAGATGGGGAAGATGCTCGCCATCAATGCTTCAATGTCGGTGAGCAAATTGTAAATGGTCGTCTGTCTGTAAGTCAAACAATTTTGAGACAACGACAGAGTTATCTGTTACAATACATTAATTATATTTTGTTTAATGTTATGTTATATTATTTATATTTATTTAACATAATTCATTCAGGCCATGTATCTTCTTAGAGTGATCAAGTGTAAGTTTTGAGGTTAAGTACTCGATACGTAAGTCACTAATTGATATAATGCTATTTTCCCTACATTGTGTATATTTTTATGTTTCCAGGTCAACCTAATATTCCATGTAAATCCTTAAATTCCATATTATTTTGTTTAATGTGTTATATTATTAAACTTTTATATTATTTCAGCGCATGGACATTGGTGAGTGTCCAAAAATACATGATAATGCATTAAGAGCAGATTTTGAAAAAGCTCAACAAAAGTTTGATCACTATTATGATGTAGATGTAAGTTGATGAAATCATTTATGACTTAAAAAAATATATACCAATTACTAACCATCTATTATATTTTTTAGGCTACTGAACATTTACAAGCATTTATTAGTGATTGTGACAGAAGAACTGAAGCAGCTCGAAAACGACTATTAGAAACTCAAGAAGAGCTTACTGCTGAAGTAGCTGAAAAAGCCAATGCTGTTCATGAATTAGCTGAGAAAATAGGACATACATTGGCTAAAGCTGAAGAATTGGGTGCCCAAGGTTTAGTGGACGAAAGTCTCAAGTTGATGGGAGAAGTATGTTACATTTTTACATTTTTTTAGTATAAAACATTAATATTTATATATTTATTAATTATTAATAAAGATTGAAGATCTGCGTAAAAAAAAATCAGAAGCAGAAGATACTTACAGAAATTCAATGCCTGTAAGCAGCTATCAACAGCAAAAATTAAGGGTGTGTGATGTATGTTCAGCTTATTTAGGTATTCATGATAATGATCGAAGATTAGCAGACCATTTTGGAGGAAAATTACATTTAGGATTTATCAAAATAAGAGAAAAACTATCAGAACTTGAAGTAAGACTAATAAACCAGGACTTGGGAATTTGTGCATTTTCATAAGTCCCGAACCCTGCTAATAACTAATAATTCTAGAATTTAAAAATAAATATATTTAATTCTTTAAAATAGAAAAATTATGAAGAAAGACATGAAGCTCGGCGTAAATTTGATGAACAAGAGCGTTATAAAAGAGATGATAAAAGAAGCCATCGGTCTAGAAGTGGAGATCGAAATGAACGTCACCGACGATCTAGGTAATTTTATTATTATTATCATCATCGCATTATTTATTATTAATGATTTGTTTATACATTAATAGGTCCCGTAGTCGTCACAGTAGACATCGTTCACGTAGTCGTAGCCGAAGTCGAACCCACAAACATGATAGAAGAGATCGAGATAGACGTCGCTATTAATAATAAATTGTATTACTTCGTTTCAATGACACATAACTCTTTTTAGTAACATTAATTTGAATATATTTATAATTATAATTATAAGATGAATATAAAACTTGTTAAATTTACTAATATTCAAAGTAGAAGAAATTTAAAACAATGTCTTTTTAGAAATTACATTTTTCCATCTATAATTTAATCTATTTTCAGAAACAATGAAATCACACTAATTATTATTATTTATAACTAGTATTAGCTTTTGCAATTAAAAACAATAAAAATGTTTATATTTGAATAATGATTTATTATTTGATACATTACATAACACTTAGAAACTTATTGTAATTGAATATGAAAATAATTATGTATGAGGTATAAAAAAAAAATATAATAAAAAAATTTACTTTTTTTTCATAAAAATACAATATTTAATTTTTATGTGATGTTAATTAAAATAATAAAATTGAAATTGTATTGTTCGAAAAAAAATACTATGGTCCCTAAAAATATTAAGTTAAAATAATTTTTTGCAAAACTTATTAGAGACCTGAGTAGGTAGAAAGAATTTGATCGAATTTAAACTTTGGCACCATAATAAGTAGTTTAAATAAAATATTATTTATATATACATATATAAAAATGACATATATATATATATTTAAAATGATCATGCAATGTTCAATTATTGAAGATTACAAAAATAATAATAGTAATAATACGAAAAATAAACTGAATTGGCTTATAAAAATTAAAATTATCTATAAATCTAAAAAAAAAATTGAATGAAAATAAACTTATTAAAATTTATATCATTTGGGTGTGTAATTAAATTGTTATAAATTTATGACTGATGTTTCAAATTCCCTGTAAATTAATTATCCTTCCAGTCTTTTTTAATCTCAAATACCCATTCCCATTTTAAATGTTCTTTTTTGTCATCATCCGTAAATAGAGAATGAACCGTGTAAGAGCCGCGTGCCATCATGCCACTAGGAGCATCTTCAGCTGGTGTTGTATAACTCTGTATTTCCATCTTAGGTGGATATGATCCAACCATATGAGTCATTTTGTCCACTAAAAATAAGTAATCATATTACCAACCGTATGTATTAATAATAAAAATTGATTAATTTACCTTAAACTGTTATGCAGCAAAACAAATAAAAATTAACCTTAAGTAAGTACTTAATCTTTAAATTGTGAATTTATTAGCTGGGCCTTTATAAAACTCATATCAATTATTTGATACATTACAGAGGTTACAAAATAGGGGGGGGGGGGGTCCATATTTAGTTCATAAAAAAAAATTTTTTTTTTTTTTTTTGTTGATTAAATGAGATTTTTATTTATTTTGATTTTGCTTTTACTTTCTTTAAATAAACATAAACATTAAAATAATGTTGATATAAAATTTCCTGAATTTGTAGTGACTTCAAAAAATATTGATTAATTATTCTTAGTGTATAACATTACCTGGTACACCGAGACGATAAGTCTTTTGAACATACTTGAGACCATGAACAATTTCTCTTTGTACTATAAAATCTATTCTAATTTTGTATGATATTCCTTCTTTTATAATGAACACCTAAAATTTGATTATTGTTTTAAAAAACTTTAAATAGGGTTTAAAATTTAAAACAAAATAGTAACCTGTTTTTTTAAATTTGTTAAATCTCCAGACAAATCAAGTTCCATGTCTGGTCTATCAGCAACACATAAAGCTAATTTCTTGACAATCACTTTATTTGGATTATTTTCATCTGGAAAAAAATTTAATTCACTCACTTATGCCTTTGTTAGTTGTGCGTATCTCAAAGCTTTATTAGCTAAATGGTAAATACTAAAACACAAAAATATTAACTGATACGAATTTTGCGACCAAAATAATTAAAATCTGAAAATTATTAAATATAAATAGTATTGTAAATATATACCATAACTAATTATTTTACAAATCCTATTTTTTAAACTATAGTAAGTTTAATCAATAACATAATTTGATAAAAAAATTATTTAACATATTGATACCTATTGAAATTTCCAATCTATTTGTCACAATAACGAAGTATGTTATAGAGAAAACAAAAATGTATTGAAATAAGTACAAACCTATTTATAAATAGTATAACCTAAATCAAATAAAAGCTATTAAAATATGAATCTAAAAATTAAACAGTTATAAAATTAGTTTTAGTGAGATACAGTTACTGAATAATTTTTATTTTATTAACTCATAAAAATGTTTTACAGTAATGCATTATCAATAGGTACAACAAACTTGCAAGAATTGTTAATGACAATTACCAAAAATGATTTTTCCACTGTTAGCTTCGCCCAGTAATTTTTCCTTGTATTTCTGCAAACTCGCATCCTCTTTATCGGCATTTAAAAGCTCTTCAATAGATTTTTCTGGCGGTGGTTTGTAATTGGATTCGATTTCGTCGTCGTCATGAATCGCCAACTTGTCCACGCCGTCTTTGATCACGTCTCCGTCGGACATTCCTAAACAAATGTCGTATATTTACCGTTAGTGTTACGCCCGTGAATTAATTCATCGGTGTAAGGCAAATGAATAAAATGTACCTAATTCTTTCTGAATACAAATTGAAAAACGATTAAGTTACTCAAACAAAAACACGGTACCGAATTCTATTGTTTGTCGACAAAAATATCGCACAATAACTAAAACTAATAGGTTTTGGCAACAGTACTACTACTACCGTAGAGAAAATTATTATTATTATTTATTTCACTCCTTTTTTTTTTTTCACTAACGCTAAATATCTTATTATTATTACTTCAGCAATAATAATAATAATAATGAATAATATGACTATAGGAGTCAATGAGTAGTGATAAAGAGCACGATTGTACCATAGAATATTCTATGATTGTACGAATGATACGAATGAATTAATATTTAATGAAATAGGACACTACCTTTTGTTCCACGAAAAAGTTATTCCAAAGTCAGTTTGTTCAAATTGAATTAATATTCGAAATTCACATTTGTCCCGACGGTTATTTATTCCAAGAAATATTTGTTCCAACGACCAATCATTGTTTCACTATCTTCACTAGCCATTTATTATTTCTTTTTTCTTTTCTTTCTTCTAAAGGCCTAAAGGCTACAAATGGATTTTATACATACTCTTACGTGTGTCACCAGTCACCACCTCGTGAAATATATTAATTCAATTGTTTTTCAGTATTTTCTGTTAGCATTTTATTAAAATATAAGTATAAAATAGATACTAGTATTTATAATCAACGGTATAGCGGACACCGGATTCAGTTCCGAATTCCGATTGGTGTCTGGTGAGTGGTGAGATCCGAATAGTCGGCCAGTATGAGCAATAGTTCCGAAAACATATTCTCATCCATCGATTGAACAATGACGTAAAATCAATTTTAAACTACCTAAACAATTTGTTTGTTTCATCGCATATTCGGTTTGAAAAAATATTTTCACGTAATATTTAAAATAAAAAATAATTTTTTTGAATATATTTTTTCCTTGTTATTTAATTCTTATGTATAAGCCCTTGGGAAAGTAGCTCAGCTGTAAAATCGTAGGCTTGCATATACTTAAATTTCAATAGATACTTACAATATTTTTGACTTTTGGGCCTTTTCTTGATATTTTTCTTTGAATAACAAATCTATGGTATCTATTTCTAAGATAGCTTAACTTTTATTTATGATTTGTATTTTTGTATAACATCTGTTATAGTATCATATAGGTAATATGTTTTTCTACATGAATTTAAAATATTTTATACAGTATATACCACATAATATTTTAAAAAAAAAAATGACATTTTATAAGTAACATCAGTTGTAATACAAGCCCCTTAATCTGAATTTCAATTTTAAGACCCCATTACTAAACTCTGTGGGTGCAGTGGTGCACTCTACGGCCTGCACCTCCCCCCCTCACCACCCGTGAACACGCTTATTGCCCACGTGAACAGTATAAAGTGTGTTCAATTGGTTGCTGATCATACTGATCCATGTTTGTTAATTATTATAATAGTAGTTCCTCTATATATATTGTTGATTGGTGCGTTTTATATTCGTCAAAAATAAATGTCTAAAAAATTAATTTATATTCTCGAATTATGTTTATTGGCGAGATCGTTTGATGGCTGTTTCTATGTATTGTTCTAGTATTCACTAGAATGATCAAATTTCGTAAAAATTTAAACTTCAAAACTTCAAATGCTTATTTGAGTAACGAGTAATTACATTAATAGATTTTGGAACAATTGACTGTTGGAAGAAATATTTTGTAGAACATTAAGTAACGATTCAATAAAAACAAAAAAAAAAAATTTGGAAATTTTTATTACCTATTAGAATAAATTGACTTTGGAACTACAATTTGTAGTAAGTTCGCCATGATGTACGATAATATTATCGGATGTAATACTAATTATACGATCGCTCATGTGGTAGACACATAAAGATACGTTTATCGTTAATCTATGCTTCCAAATTCCGACAGTTGAGTAATTTGCATAGTGTGCACGACTATATAGTCAGTCTAGTCAGTAGTCACTAGTCTACTCAGTATTCGCCCACTATAAACGTTGACCGGCTACCACCTCCTCATCAAAACATTCAAAACTGCAACAAGTCTACTATCAACTATCAAGTATTCATCGTGCCACTGTGACTGGTCTATACACAATCCGTTGTCGGAGTCAGATACTGCTGTTATCATGACGTCGTCCTAATGGTTGTTGGTGACGGCATGTCCTATGCCCTATGGTAATATTATTATTATGTTGTTAAAATGTTAACGTTGCGAATCTTTAGACCTAAGAGTAGTATGGTTGTAGACTGTTGCAGAGTCTAAACTCTAAAGACCGTGAATTGAAATCCTATTGTTTTTTCTCTATTATTATTTCATATTATTTTGTGGATAATGAGCGAGCACGTTCTGCTGATATTCTTTTAAAGTCTACGACCTACGTTTTCATTTTTATCCTTGATCGATTAATGTTCGTATTTGATATATTTTCTATATTATAATGGCCGAGTAACGCATACCAAATAACGTGAATAATTGTTAAAACTTATGCTACATGTTCTGGATGGAACAGGATTTTACTTGTTTTATTTTTCAAATTATTTGATAAATGATCTATGTCGACTTACTGATATTGTGCATCAGATTTAGTCGTCGGTTAACTGGTTAACAATGTTAACATAACCATCTATATGATGTACACGTGAATGTTGTACGGCATTGTTCATTTTTTTTTTTAATTGCAAATATTATGTATTATGTACATATAATCAACCAAATATATTTTGCAGATTCCACATGAAAAATGGTTGACCCGAATTGGACAAATTTGGCTGTGTCTAGACGTCTCCCAGACAAAGTGTCACAGTTGTATTATTCCTATGGTCTGTTCTGCGCATCTCATCCCATCATTTCATTAACAGTTTCTACTGTAATCGTAGTTTTATGCAGGTAATTGATATACATTTATTTTTCTACTATTATAAGTAACTGCTTTATTTATATTGATAACAAGTTTTAATAACTGACAGTTTTATAGATACTTATTTATTTAATTTCTAGTATAATAATGATCATAATTATATATGAAATAAATAAAACATAGACAATATTTTTATTATAAAAAAAAAAGGTAACACAAAGTGATTTTTGTTATATTCTTATTATTTTTAAAATATTTTTAATATTAAATATTATTATAATACTTAATAATAAATAACATTTTTTAGCTTATCACTATTTGGATTGCCATTGTTCAGCAATGTAGTACAATCAACTATAACACCTTCTTACAAGCCAGATAACATAACAAATCGATGGTTTAGTGGACAACCCAGTGTGTATATTCAACAAGTAACCCATTTTAAATAATTTAGTCTCATTTAATATTTTTTAAATTTAAAATGTTTATTACTTAATACTATTTGTGGTTTTCTATAGATAGTTATGAGATCAATGGTAACCCCATGGTTGGATAATTTAGTTTTATCAGATGCCTTCAGAGGCCCTTTAGCTGAATCTTTCAAATTAGTTGAAATTATTAGAAATTATCAATTAGATAACAAGTATTAATTTGAAATTTTTTTTGAATATTGTTTAAATTTATGAATTAAAATATTTCTTATACATTAGAATTTCTTTAAATGATGTCTGTCTACACATAGAAAACATTAATTCTGATGTAAAGGCATTACCAGAGTTCAGTTGTTTGCTTGTATCACCTACTTATTTGTGGCATCAAGATTTAGAAGAGTTTCGTACTGATAATAGCATTGAAAAAACAATTTTTACTTATCAGGTATGTATTTATATAAAATTCTATTAATAATTTATTTCATTATAGAATCTTTTATATTTCAGAGTCCATCTCATATAAAAATTAGTATTCCAGAATTATTATTTGGTATGCCACTTAAAGAAACTGGTATTAGAAGATATTCTGTTCATCCTCGACAAAGAGTTGTCCAATTTGCTATTACAATATTTATGAAACAACTTGTACCACCGTAAATCACCTTTTTTTTATATATATTTTAAATTAAATAAATACCCTCAATTATTCTAGTTAATGAAATATTAATACATTTAAAAATATATTTTTTTTTATAATTATTATCACTATCATTTTAATACAAATTAATGATTTGTATATGTTTATATATATATATATTGTTACAGGTATATACAAGGATTGAAAACCCATTTGAAACAAATTTACCCTGTACATGTTAAATCAAATCAAATTCTATCAGACACATCAACTTTACACATTTACTATCCTGGAGAAATAAATTATGAAACAATATTTGTTTTACTCTCATGTTATATGCTTTTATTTGGGTATATTTATTACTCTATTAAAAAAATGGACATTTTTGTCTCCAAGGTATAATATTCTTTTACACTTTTTTATTTCACATAATTTAAATTAACCGACTTTTCTATTTTAGGTTGGAATTAGCTGTGGAGCTGTTTTCACAGTTATATCTACTCTTTTAACAACTATGGGGCTTTGTTTTTTATTTGGATTAGATTTTACAATAAACATTCAAAGTCAAATGGTAATTTAATTTATTTTGTTATACTATATAGTACAGAGGTGGTGAACCTTTTTTAGCTCAAGTGTCTAATTTTTCAAATCTAGGTTTTGGAAATTTTATTTTCTAAGGATAAAAATAAAGTTACACAATAAATATAATAATAATATAGTAATGTAATACATTTTATAAAGGAATATCATAATTTTTAAACATTATTTGTTTTTTTGAATTTCTTATAACCAACATTTTATAAATAGCATAATTTTTTTAAATTTTAATTTTTCACGTGTTGTAGGTTTGCCACCCCTAATTTAGTATATATTAATTAAATTATTTTACTTTAAAATAATAATATTTTTTTCATTACTATTTAGGTGTTTCCTTATTTAGTTATTGTTGTTGGTCTTGAAAATATGTTGATTATAATAAAATCAGTGGGTTCGACAGCACCGAATTTAGATGTAAAAATTAGATTGGCTCAAGGTTTAAGTAAAGAAGGATGGGCTATAACTCAAAATCTTTTAATTGAAGTTACTATTTTAACTGGTGGATTATTAACTTTTGTTTCGTCAATTCAAGTAATGTAGTTTTATGTTAAAAAATTTAAATTTAAAATCTAATTTTGAATCATATATTTCTAGGAATTTTGTATATTTGCCATTGTGGGTTTATTATGTGATTTCTTTTTTCAAATGTTCTTTTTTCTTGCACTCATATCATTAAATATGAAATCAGTAGATGACTCAACTTATCAAAAAACATATTATCCATTTTCTTTTGCTAATTTGGCCAATAAAATGCATAAATCTAATCCTCCGGCATTAAAACATTCAAGTCGTAGTGGTGTTATGTTAAAATCTGCTTCTCATCCGCGTTTAAATGGTTTGCAAATTATGGCTTCATTAGAAGATCCCCGACGCAAGCCAATGTCAAAACGTTTGAGATTCTTATATCTTTGGGCAGCTACAAGAATTGTTCAACGAGTATTAATGATGGTTATGATTTTTTGGATATCTGGTATTATATATAATACAGAAACTGTGCAAGAATTTTTTGATTTAAGAAAATCTGTAACTAGTGAGAAACCATATGTTCAAGAACGATCAAATATACATTTTCCTCTTGCATGGGAAGAAGGTCGACGAGCTGTTATAATTGAAAACAAAGCTAGATTTACTGTAAAAGAAGAATATCAGTCTAACAAAAAGGTAATTTATTTATTAATAAATGATAATTTATTATAACTTGTTGATTTATCTTTTTTTTTATTATTATTATTTTATAATTTTATATTAGGCTAATCTGTCCCAAGAAAATGATTTACCGTATTATGTGCAACTTCTAAATGCTGAAAAATGGCCTCATTGGCCTAGACTTTCTTGGTACAACTGGCAATTTTTATTAAGCATGTACAATATAAGTGTCGCTGGATCTTATGTGTCTGTATTACAACCTATACATTTAGCTCATTCTGTGACACCAGATGAAGCTATATCATTGCGTGAATCTCTAAATGATGCTGATAAATCATTTCCATCCCATTGGAAGTCTTTTGCTGCTGCACTTGATCCTTTTGATTTTGTTGGTATGATCATATTAGAACTTTTTGTTTAAAAAATAAATATTGCTTTATGTGCATTATAATTTATTTTAGATACTCATATAGTTGCACCACTGGAAAGTAGAAAAGACATCAATGTTGTAGATAAATCATCCGAACCTTTTATACCTACTTCACCATCAGAATTAATATTAATTGCTGTTCTATGCTTAATTAGTATATTAGTGCTAGTCTACACATTAATAATGTTGTATCGATGTGTCTGTAGTCGTAACTATGCTGAATGGAGAGCTGGATGGAGTCATGATGTAAGTTATATACAACATGACTCTGGTATACAAGTATGTATAATTAATAATATAGTTTAATTTTACTTTATTTAAGTTCTGTAGATTTAAATTCTTATTTAGGTTATATTAGAAGCAGTTCCAATTGAATTTAAAGGGCACACACAATCAGTTGAATGTATTGCTACATATGGAAATATTATTGTTAGTACATGCCTTGCTGGTTGTATTAATGTTTGGAATGCATTAACCGGTGAATTGATTAGTACCATTGATAGGTAAATTTTGTTAAAATCAGTTAGGGAATTATATCGTTTTTCTTGCTAATATATTTTTTTTAATTTTATTTTAATGAAAACTAACTATGCCAACTAAGATCTATAAAATAATGATATTACTCGATACTCGTATTTAGTTATTTAAAAAAAATAGATATGTTCATTAATTTTTATTTAAATCCAAAACATAAGATATAAAAAAAATATTTTAAAGCAGAAATTGCAAATGAATGCTTTAACAAATCACATTAAATTAAACAATTCTACAACTAAAAAATTACTGATTTTTGTTAATATATTTATATATTGAGCTTCAAAATAGGATTATGTTGGTATACTAAAAAATGTTTTCAATCTATTACTTCCCTGTTTAAATATAAATGGCATTTTACATGTAGTATCATAAAATTACATTTTTTTTTATTTATTTATGCATAGTATTTACTTTGTACAATTAAAAATTTGTTAAAAGTATATTTCTTAAAATATTGCATTATTTTCATAATACTAAAATTAATTCAAAATAGTTTCTTGAAATGATTAAAAATAAACAATATTATTCTGTAAATAAAGTTTAAACGAATGCATTTTTATTTATTATAATTTATAAAGTAAGAATTGAATTTAACTTATCAGAAAATATATAAGGTCAAATAAAAATACATAAAATTGAATGGTTTTTGAACCACTATAGGCCTGTAGGTATACCTACTATGTATAACTAATAACTTAAATACTTTATATAATGTATTATTAATTAAAATGGTTCAATGATTTTAATAATAAAAAAAAAAAAAAAAAAAATGGATTAAGAAAATTATGTTGAAAATTACTTTTAAAGTTTTCACAAATTTTGTTAGGAAAAATAAATTATGATTAATAAACTATGATCATGTGATAATTTATATTTAAACACAGGAGCATTTGTTTGATAAACATTTTTATACCACCAAAAAATTATTTTTTAAATCTATATTTTCAAACAAAAGAAAAAAAAAATAATTACTTTTTATTTGTACAGTCCTTTTAGAAAAATTTCGGGGGAAACCAATGCACACATTTAACTAAAGAAATTTAATTCAAAATCAATAAATAAAATAAAAACCTCATTTAACTTACAATAAAAAATAATAATTTAAAGAATACATTTTTTGTTTGTGTACCAAATAAAATTTGTTCCCTAGCCTTATACAGCCTAGGACAGTTATTTAGTGACCTTCTGCATTAAAGTATAATTTTAAATTATATTGCTATTTACTAGTAAAATAAAAAAAAAATTCATGTTTATTTATTTTTGTTTAAGGTCTAATTTGGACAATTCTAGTGATGATGATACAGAGGAATTCAATTTATCATCAGATTTCTCTAATGATTTTAAAAACTCTATTTCTGATTTTAATTCTATGTCAAATTATGCTTTTCCAGAATCAGTTAAAAATATGGAACAGTAAGTCCTAATTTTTTTTTAGTCAAATTAGTTATGATACATATCAAATAAACTGTGTTTAGATTGTGTTCAAGGTGTAAAAACGTAATTTCTATTGAAAACACGAGCTATAACACAATAAGTCAAGATGAAAAAAAAGGAAGACATACTGTTAATTCAGATCAAAATAAATGGGAAAATCGATCCAAAAAAATGTCTGAAAATGAGATCTGTATCAATTCCCAGATATGGTGTGTTGATTGTAATGAAAATGTTGTTGTTCTGGGTTGTGCTGATGGTTCATTGCAATTTTGGGATATGTACAAGGGGATACTTAAAGTATGACATTAATTCTTATTTTATTGAATATTTTTTTTTTTTATTTAAAATACAAAAATTTAGTGTATGTGGCAAGGAGACATAAATGATGGATTTACAGCAATTAAGTTGATCAATAAATATGTAGTAGCTGTGAGGTTGAATGGGTCTTTAGAATTCTTCAAACTTGATATCTTTAGTGAATCAACTTTGAGAGAGTCTATTGAGAGACCTAATACTAAATTCTCACTTAGAAGTAAATATTTTAGTATCAATATGTTTATTTGTTTTAATTTATTTATTATAATTAAACAAAATGTATTTATTAATGTAGAGCATGTAAGAACGGGAAGTATAGGTTCATCTCTTCATACTTTAAAATCAACTAATGATACTGTACGTTGCCTTCATATAGAAGCTTTAAAGGCACATAATCAACCAGTTACTGTTCTTGAAACTAATGGAGCTCAAATTGTTACTGGTAGCCAAGATCACATGCTTAAGGTTTGTAAAAGCCTAATAATTAATTTATGATGTTAACATATCTTATAAAAAAAATAGTATTTATCAATATTAAATAAGATATATATGTGTCATTCCTTTACTTAAATTATGTATAAATAAAAAAAAAATTATATTTATTGACACAATCATTAGATTTTTTAGAAAAATAACATTGCCTTATTAAAATGCTATAATTTATTTATTTAATGGCATACATCAGTTGATGAGATGTAAAGTTTATAATATACATATAATAAATATATAATTAAAACTAACACTGAGTGAGTGTAAGGCCTATACTAAACTAAGATAAGATTTTTAAATAATTAAATAACTAAATGTTTGAAATACTGAAATATTTTATTGATCTGGCAGAACAATCTATCTATAAACAGATTTTAACAATCTCAAGAGATTGGACAGGATGGCAAGTAAAAGTAAGTGGTCAGTGGTTTCTTATGGTATAGGTTGAAACCAGAAATAAAATTGATAATAGGAGGTTGGTAGTGTTTGTTGAGCTGTTATTAATAAAAAAGGAAATAAAAAAATATAGGCATGAACATGAAAACTTCAGCAAGAAGCAAGATTAAGATTCCTAGGAAAACTCAAATAGTAAAATATTTATGATAGTATAGAGAATCTTAAGAATGAATAAAGCTTAGGATATGAAATTGTGTTGTATCTATTTTTAATTTGCTAATTATGATCCAAGCAATGATAGTGTACAACCACTTCATGCTATATTTCTATACATTATATCAAATTATATTATAATATAATGTATATATTATATGGTTATAGCTTATTCTTGTATTACTTTAGATTGATTTAGGGCCTTGCATATGAATTTAGATTTGGCACATGGAAATTAATTTTTTTTTGTTTTATATTATTATAATTATTAGAAAAATATTTTAAAAAAATAAAGCAAAACAAATTTTAAGATTAAATACTTATGAATACAATTATAATGGTTATTTTATTTTATTTTTTAATTCTGGATATATTTTTGAATGTCAATACTATTGCAAATAAAATATCAATGTTAATGGTATAGTTTTACATCAAAATTTAAGCATTCATTGAATCTGTTTCTAGTATTTTGTGTTAACATCGAAATTATGATTAGAATTAATGAAAAACTGAAAACTTATAAAATTACACATTGTAATTATATTAATTGTATTATACATTTCAACTAAAGCAAAACAGAAGACATTAAAAAGATAAATAAATTTTAACTTGAACAATGTTGGGTAATAGTATTACGTAAATTACAGAAAATTGTTAATATTACGGGTTTAAATATTGATTTTAGATTTCTATTTAATATTTATTGGAAATAAATTAACCACCTCTTTTGTGACCTCTTTGAACATTATTATTTATATTTTATTCTGGTGTATTTATAATAAGTTGATAAACAGTATTATTATGTTTATTGTCTAATTTTTAACTCATGTTCTCAATGTTATTGATTTGTTATAATTTCACAACAATTTGATTACAATAAAACCTAAAATAGTTATTTAGGACATGGAAGTAATAAATCTTTAAGTACCATAAAAACAAAAATTTTGACTAACTTCGATTTAAACCAAACTGCAAAATTCTGATTTCATCATCATTTCATTATACCAATCTAACTAATCTATTCTTTTACAATTTTAATGAAACCATTAGGTAATCAATGATCCACTTAGATTCTTAAATATTTAGATTGAAAAAATAATGAAATATATATTTTCCAGGCTGAAATATTTCCTTAGTATTTTCTCACAATTACCAAGAACTAATTATTATTTTATGTTAATTTTTTGTGTTGTAGGTATTTAGAATTGAAGATAGACAGTTACTATATACTTTACATGGCCATTATGGCCCAATAACGTGTTTATTTATTGATCAAGTAAATCCTCATATGGCTGCGTCGGGTAGTCAAGATGGAATGTTATGTGTATGGGATTTAGTTACTGGTTTGTTAATAATAAATTATGTCATAAAAATTATATAAGTCTTAATATATTTAATATCTGTTATTATTAATATATTTCACTTCTAGGTACATGCATGTATACAGTTCAAAGTCATGATGGAGGAGTTTTAGGCATAACATGTTCAGCTAGTTATGTTATTAGCATTGGTCAAGATGATAAAATTTGTGTTTGGGACAGGTTTCATGGTCACCAACTTAATAATATTCAAATTGTGAGATATTTTATTTTTCAATTTATTATATTATTTATTTTCATTATTCAATATTTTTTTTTATATAGAGCAATGTCTATTGTTATGATTTGGCGATGTTAACACATAATTTGCTTATTACTTCTAAACAGGTAATTTTGTACTGAAATTTAAAAAAAAAAATTATATGCAAATAAGACTGTTTTTATAATTTCAGGGTTGTATAGTTATTATGGATGTACAAACAGGAGAACCAGTGAAAGTATTTAGCTTAGGAGACTCTGATTGTAATGTTGTTACTCAATTATTAACGCTATCAGACAGTATTGTATGTGATTATGGCACAGAATTGCGTGTCGTACGATTTCCGATGGTAGCAACTAAAGAAGATTAAATTATATCAATGACAAAGACAAAGACATGAATATTAATATAGTTTATAAACCTTTTTTTTTTTTAATAGTTATATTTTTATAATGTGTTGTTGATCTCAAAAATTTTATTGAATAAATAAAAATCAATATTGTTATATGAATAACAATTTGTTTTACTAACACATTTCTGTGAGTGTCAAACCAAGATTTTGAAGAAAAAAATTGATACACAGAAGTCATATTCTAACTTGTATCTTGGTCAGAGTCCAGTACGACTTGTAACAATTTGCTTGTTGTACTATTGAGTATTTATAATCAATAGTTGTACATTATGTAACTTAAAAATCAAAAATCAAACATTTTTACAGCTCCAAAAGATGAAAACAGTAATAATAAAAACATTATATCATGATATAAATTTTATTATTTTCAATTTATTAATTTGCTACTTAGAATCTTAAATATGCTTTGTAAAATGCTTATTATTTTTCCAAAAATAAAAATGGACTCGCTGAGGTGCTGAACACATTATTAATGTGATGTACATCAATTGTTTAGTACATATAATATACACGTTGAGATAAATACATAATATAAAACTGGGCATTTTGTAGAAAAACCAGCAATAATTACAATATAGACAATCTATCATAAACTACAAGAACAAGGTCTGTAGCCTGTAGGTAAACCGTAAATATAAATAGTATATTAGAAGTTATTCCTATTAAAACTAGATTCAATATAAAATCTAGTTTTTATTTTTGTGAAGTTGTTTATTTAAGGATTTTTATCCTTATAGTTAGGGTTCGAAAGTTATAGGAGCTAAAGAAGGCAAAATATACATGAAAAAAATGTGAAATATGCAAAAAATTATTCAAAGTCCATTATACAAAACATAGAAATTTCGTTATTAATTATTGTCAACTTGAGTACTTACGTATCTTATTCACGGTAAAATAGTATTTTGACATTTTGGAGAGTTAAAGATTAAATTCGAATCGTTAAATTAATAATAGTTAGACTAAAACGCATTGTCGTCGAGTGTGTGCACGTTCACTAACTACCCAAACTCAAGAAAAATTTCGACTTCGCCGTCGCCAATGTACGTCGGCATTTTAATTTATTTTTACTCTTAATTATTTATTATGAATTTAAAACAACAATCGCGTTTCAGTTTTCTTTGTTAATTTTTAAACAATTACCTACTTAGAACAATCTAAAATATTTAGACAGGTACCTATATAATATTTTTACTTTTTTTAGGTGTGCACTACTTCATAAAAAGTAAAATTCCACAAACCGCCACTGGAGTAAAACGATAAAAAATAACAATAATTAATATTGTGTTTTATATTAGGTATTCTCGTTTTTGGAGTTATTACCGTTTCATTGTAAAATATTACCTAATTAAAATACATAATTTAAGAAATCAATAAAATCGATTTTTTTAAATACCTATAAATAATATTCATTAAATATGCAACTATAAAAGGAATGCATATTAAAATAAAAAATATGTATTTTTTCATTAAAATCGACGAAATATGCAAAATATGCATTTTTAATTTTTAAACTCAACATTGTGTAGTTCAGATTTCTTGCTTGGTCTGCTGTAAATCGAGACATACTGAACAATATGCAACTCCTATAATTTTCTAACCCTACTTATAATATACATAATACGACAGAAACTATTCATTCGTTATTTTCAATTAAGATGTGTTCATTGTACAACTGAATTTGTGTTATGCTATTTATTGAAATCTGTTACTGTAGCAGTGTAGCAGCTGAATACCTATCTTGATATAAATATTTATTTAAATTCGACTTGTGGCTAAGAATCTATATGGTTTATGATTAATTAGGCATACTCAAAACACCTATGATTCATCAATTGTCCTTACAAAGGAAAAAAACATATATTATAGTCTAGTATCATGCTACTACTTTTGGGCCCTTGTAGTATTCATAGCGAGAAACTACTGCTAAATTTGATTCAAAGTAAAGTAACACTGTCAAAATAGTTTTGGATCATTTTTTCTAGTCTCAGCTTTCTAAACAATATCAAAATGAAACAAATTTTGTAAATTTGAATATTTCATTAAAAAAAAAAAATTAGATAATGTATAGTCAAGTTGATTTAGTATCTCATACATCTAAAAAATTATTTAAAAATAAAATTATTTCTTTTTGTTTGTGTGCATTGATATTAACATATTGGTTATTATTTATATTTCAGGGTTTATTGCATTATCATGTTACTAATCCAAATATACCACTGTCAGGGATATTTGGTCAAATGATAGTAATTAAAAAAAAATTATGCTGTAATTGAAGACTATACTGTTAGTGACATTACTCTTGAACAAGTATTTATTGCATTTGCCAAAAAACAGGCAGTTTTAAATACAATAACATAAGATCTTGTTAGTTTATATTACTTATATGCATTTATAATAATTAAAAATTAACTTTGAGTAGTTCTTGTATTATTTTTGTTGTACTATCATACATTTATTCATAGAATTCCTCAATTTTCAAAATAAAATTAATTTATTAAATCTAATTTATTTTTATTTTTAGTATCATTAAAGTATTAAATAAGAACAATAAGGTTAATGCTTGTTTGTTATAACCAAACAAATTGTTTATACAATGAGATTAGTGATAAAATATTTTATATAACTTTATTATTAAAGTTTTTTATTTAATCTTTAACCTAATTACTTAAACATTTATAGTATTTTTTAATTATATTTATAATAATCTTTAATTATAACATAATAAATTGAGTTTTTCACCAGACTCGATGTGGTGGCTTAAATATTTTATTCAAGATGTCTAATATTTTACTTTTAAACATTAAAAATATATTATAAATTCATCTAATATGATGAAGTGAAGTAAAATTGTTATTTATCTATATTTATAATTTTGCACTATGTAATACGTAAGCTATTGTTTAAAACTTGTATTGTATCTATCAATAAATATTTTTATTGATACAAATTATTTTTATTTTTTTTCATGGATTATTAATTAATTTATATTAATTGTGTATTGATTCAATTATTTACATTTATATGTTTTGCCTAAAAACCAAAATATTTTTTATTACCTATGTAAAAAATTGAACTGGATAACTTAATATTTTATTGTACAATCAATTTTTTATTTAAATAATAGTACTTTTGGTTAAGTTTTAGTTATTATTCTTTTGGTTTTTTTTTGGGGGGGGATTTCAATTTTCTATTTATTTATACCTATACCGATGTGTACCTATGAGAGATAATGAGTTAATTAAAATAATTTATCGTATCAAAATAAACCCTATTATTTATAACTAATGATTATTGGTACGCCATGTAACTTCTTGAGCTCTCAATTGTGAATGGATAAATATATATAAATATATGTTCAAATATTTTCCTTAAAATTCTTATTTATACCTAATTTACTCCTAATAATTTAAGATAAGTATATAATATATTTTTTAATATCAAAATAAAAATAATTTTAGTGAATTAATGATCAATACTTATCTTAAATAAAATTGGACATAGGTGATATAGTATGTAAATCATTAATCTCGTAATGTTTAAAATATTGGTATTATATATTAAGTTATTATTTATAAAAATGAATAAGTTTAGTTTAGTGAAAATTGACAACCATGGACAATTTCACAGTCCACAGATAAATCGGAATAGCATTGATAATTGACGTGATAAGCAACTACTAGTAACTGTATTAATTAAATAGCCACATTTTTCAAGTACAAATAAATACAATATTCTGGTAGTTATATAACATTAAAGATTACCTAATTTAAGAATTTCTAAGATATTTCTTGATATCGAACTATGTATTTTACAAAAATAAATTATTAAGATAAATTTGTCGTGCAATTCGGATATATAATTTCAAACAAAGATGACAAATTCGCATATTTAATTTCGTGAATTTACATATCTATATTTTATATATATTTTCATAAGTTTTCAATTTATAGGTATTTTATAACATCCATATGTTGATATTAAAGTAGGTAATAAAAAAGATATTCTGCTTTGAAATATGAAATTAAAAATACATGTCGACTTTTAAAATTAAAAAATATAATTTTGTTCTGTATACGATCTACATACCTATCTAAATGACTTTTTAAATCTGTTTTTGTCCCTAATTTTCGATAATTATTAACACTATCAATTTAATAATTGGTTTATAACTTGCATCATATTAAACAATAGGTCGCGGCTTATAATATTGTATTTGTATAATATATATATCTCCAGATTGGACAGAATCTTAGATACATTTGTATCTAAAATATTTTGTTTATTCGTATACCTAAATATGTTTTTTTTTTTTTAATTAATGTAACTATCGTTTTCAAAATTCTAAAAAAATGTCAGTCCGAAAATTATTTTCTGGGTTAAATAAAAGCTTATTCTGGTTTGTTATTTAGTCATATTTTTTTCTCCTTGGGCTTACCTTAAAAAAAAATCTTTTTCATTAAGATTATTTTCATTTGTAAACAATTTCGTGTAATCAACTAAATTTTTACAGTCTTGTTCTTATCTAATATTTTCTAAACGATTTATTGCAACATCAATTAAATTAATTACTTGTACAATTAAATTGTCTTTAATTGTAGATATCTAGACCACATATAGGTAATGCTTAAATAGTAATGCCAGTATATTTTTCTAAAATATAACATCATAAAAATTAATTTAAATCATGTTGATTTACTAATTAAATTTGCAGCAGTTAAAGCAATTTTGCGATCAGAATTATTCGTAAAACGACTACGCTCACGACTAACTAACCACACTAATCCCCTAATATCAGCTCTAAATTCTAATTATATTCCTGGAAATCCTCCTCGTAGGCTAAAAAAGATGATGTCGTGATCTAAGTCATAATTGACAAAAAAAATTTTTTTATAAATTAAACAAACTTCTGTTATAAAATGTCGTTATTGGATGGCTTCTTTTTTCACGTGTTGCATGCCAATTAATGTATAATATCCGCATACATGCTTATTGTAAACTTAAATTACAGATTGTATGTTTTAAAATAAAGTTAAAAAAAAAAAAAAGAATTATTCGCATAAAAAATGTCTTCCATTGTCTCCAATAGTGCAGAAGTATATAGAAGCATAGAATTTTGAATTAGAATATCTAAATTAAATTTTCCAAAAAAAATCTTGCCAAAACGAAATGATTTAAAAGTGTTAATAAAATATATGGACATAGTATTAGTATTATAGCAATTCTCTTTATAGTTATTTCTTAATTGCATTTATAAATTATAAATGTATGGACGTATGGTTATAAATTAAGCTTATCGTTGTTTTCAATTAAAATGTGTTCATTGTACAATTATACAATTATTATAATTATTCGTTCGTAAAATATAGATTAGTATTGAATAAATCAATATATGTCTATAAATTGACTATATTATATCATTCCATGTACATTCAAAATTATACATGATAATGATATGTCAACAAAATAAACTTTAACAGTTTATAGTCTATTTAAATTTAAACCTACAATTTCAGTACTTTTATATTTCAATGTCTTTTTGGTCTTCGATTTATTTTTAAGCAATATCCTATTTCTGCTAATATTATAAAGATTTAATTTTTGTTTCCACCTGCTATGATTAAAATATAAAATAAAAATCGAAGAAAATTTATTTTTCTTTATATTTAAAATAGGTTTTATAAAATCTTCATAGTTAATATACATTATATATATATACAAACTATTTAACTAATTTTTTAATAGACTTATTATTTATTAATATTATTATTTCAGTAGAAAATATATTATCGAATAAACAGGAAAAATAGTATGTATGTATCAATAGACTATAGCAAGGATGAGAAACTCAAAATTAATTAGAGAGCCAATTTTTAGAAAATTAAAATCTAGCGGTCATAGCATATAAAGCAAAAAATAAAGCTCATTCAAAATGTGTATTTTAATTAGCATTTATTTTATTTATAATGCGTATTTTTTACTTTAAAATTGTATGATTTAATTTTAAAATGTAGCAACGGGGTAAGTAAAACAGAATTGCGAGCCGCCAATTATCCATTCTTGGACTATAGGACTAGTGTAATTATTACTTATTAATTATTATTATTTAATTTTTTTAGAAACTATGACAGTGTATAACTAACAGTGTTTATTGATTTGAATTATAATGGTTATTAATATATAATATTAAATATTGTTATATAAAAAACTATGAAAAATTATAACAAAATATAACTTGATGATTTAAAAATTAAATTTACTATAAAAACAATTGTTTTTATGACAATATTGGTAGGTACATTAATAATTATACTGATTATTTATAGCCTTAAAGGAACATGAAAATGTACAATGTTCTCTAAAAATATGAAAAGAAGTTTAATCATTTTAACATATCAGATATAAGTTGTATAGAGTACATTATTTTTATTTAATTTATTAACTCACTAAAACAAATAATAAAATACCAAAAAGTAGATTAAGATATATTGCTATAACACTTATAACAATGGAAAAATATTTTAAACTAAACATGTATAAGTACCGAAACTCCGTAGATATTCGATATTCAAACGAAAACAATTTCGTAAATTCGTATGATAATTATGACTATTATGAGGTTAGTTGATAAATTATTTACGATTTTTTATGTCGCATTATTAACTATTTTCTATAATTACTATCCATTAATTCATCATTCTATAATAGTATAATATGTATAAAAACAATATCAAAACAATTAAAAGTATCAGTTTTTAATACAATATGTCCTAAATTAATTAATGTTTGGTAATTTAATACACTTATTTATTATCGATTATTAATACGTTAACTATTGAGCGCTAATTTATGCGATTAGTTTTTACGACAAATTTTTTGAATATTTTTATATACGTTCAACAGCATTAAATAATTACTAAAAACATATCTATTAAATATATGAATTAATAATTAATTGTTTATTAACTGAAAATTTCCTTGTCATTTCATACAATATACGAGCTATAATTAAAATAATGAAATTTAAATTAATTAAACTTGTATTGTAAACTACGTTTGCTTACCGTATGTTATATACTTGTAAGTATATTATATACATAAAATAATTTATTAAACAGCAAATAGCGACCACATCAGAAAAAAATTGACCGTAAAAATATACTTTTGTATTTCTAATAGTATTTAGCCATTTAGGTCTCATTGGTCGTAGAAACATGATTTTGGTATAAAAATAAACAAAGAGAAGCTATTCTAAAAAAATTTGGAATAGATTTTTAAAATTTACTTCCAAATCAATTTTATTAACATTTGTTGCTTATAAAAATATTCATTTTTTTTTTTTTTTTTTGAGTAGGTATTAACAATTCATTCAAAGATGAGTATAAAGAGTTCTAATGTAAAAACTAAAGTATATTTTTGGTTAAAAAATATATGAATTTGCTGTAAAAATGTATTACATTACTCTCACAACTACACCAACGTCCAGAAGCGTTTTTAAATCATGTTTTTAAACGATAAAAAAAAAACAAAAAAAAAACGGAAAATTCATTTTTTTTCAAAAATGTTAGTGCATACTGAAATAATGAAAGTCTTACGTTAAATGGACTGCATTGACGCCTCGTTTATTAACGTTCAGAAAATAAGATGTCAACCAAGTAATCAATTAGATTATTTAATCATATATCAAAACAATATTATTTTTCTACTACAAATATTTTATAAAATCTTAAAATAGGTATGTTAACATAAATTATTGGAGTTTAATTAATAGGCATATATTTGGCTTGTTAGAAGGGGGTAAAAATTATAAACATAGAACATGCCTGTGGAACATATAACAGCATCCCTTATATAACATTTTTACAAACAATTTATTGGGTCGGCATACGTATGTACTGGCTACCCTGACCTAGCAATATAATCACCACCTCCCCATTAATTTTATCTATTTACTTTATAGTACTTGGTATTTATACAATCGATGGCGATAGATAACGTGTATTGCGATTTGCATATATTTTGGTGTGACCAGTGACGTATTTACAAACTTACTTTGGTGTGTGTGTGTGTGTGGGGGGGGGGGGGTTGTAATAATAGTGAAATAAGTATATACATTAGTATAAAATGCTCTTTATTAATTTATTGTTTAAGAAATCAAATAAAACTATTTCAGGATCACAAATTATATTATAAAATTTAGTGTTTGATATGATCAGTTAATTTAACGTTTATAAAAATATGTTCATAATACGTAAATACTAGATCTAAAATTATTAAAATTATTCGTCAGACCACAATTTTTTTTTTTAATACAAACTAATTAAAATATACAATTTAAAAACTATTTAATTTTTTAATAAATTTTGTAATTGATTTTTTTATTATTTAAATGCTTTTTTTTTACATATTTTTTTTGTGAAGGGTTGGGGTGGAAACCAACAACACCTCTCTCCCCTAAATACGACACTGGCTGTGGTTTTAATATGGTGATGGACTCCAAATCTCCAAACATTCCTGTTTTTAAAATTTTTATTAGTATTTCAAGTCTTTATCGGGATTTAATTTCAATATGTCCCAATAATACAATTTGTAATTATGAAATCGTATTGGATGATTTGATAAATTATCTTTCTACAATATTTTTATTTTTTATTTTTATCAAACCTATTTACTTTTTAATTGTATTTCATAGTGAAATTTTAAGACTTTAAGTGTTTAAAATTATTTAAAGTATTAAAAATAAAACTAGCTGATATTTATTCTTCATTTTATTATCATTAATGGTACCTAATATAGAATTGTTTGAAAAAAATTGTTATTAAGAGGACGTCACACCCCCCATGTATTGTCTTTGTCTTACACTCTTAGGTACGATATAGTAAATGTTCGTTCAACAGTTTCAAAAGTGTGCTTTTAACTTTGATATTACTGATATTAGAATGAATTTACCTATTATTAAACTTTTAGTCAAGAACATTATCTGTGTTCTCTCGTTGGTTTTTTACGATATTTTAATTGTTAGTTAAGTTATGACTTATGATTTATGAGTATGAAAAATATAAATATTCGAATAACGTGTTAGGTATTTAAAATAAATTCATTAGTAATATTGTCAAATGTTCAGCGGTTCATTTATTGGGCTGGTTTAGTATGCTACAGGATAATAGCACATCTGGATTGAAATATCGAACAGTCCCTACCTTAGTTGATTAATTGGTGTTGATATAGTTATTTAAGTTTTAATACTATATCGAATAGCATTTATAAACATTAGCATTAGAAAATTAGCTTACGTAATTTTATTTTACAAAAAAAGTATTCGAATATTTTTCACTTAAATAAAAATTTAAAATATTTGATAGTGTGTCATCACTAAATTTGTTCTGTACCGTCTATACTGTAGTATACCTATCAGTCACCACATGTGCCATCTCTCACTTGAAACCCGCACTGTCCGGTGTCCCTCTAATGTGATGCTTACATCCTTAAATATTATTTAACAAAGTGCTGCCTCAGCTCATTTGCTTCGTTGGCCAAATATTACGCAATTTAAACGTTTTATTAGCTGGCACATGCCACATACAACAATACCATAACCATAAAGTATGAAAACTATCGTAAGGCGTAATTGTTCAAGCTTTAAAATGTATGAACATTATGAGTCATACCCATAATACATAGAATATTACATATATTTGTCGTAAATCGTAAAAAAAAAACGTAAATAATGTCGATATTATACTGGTTTATTTTTTTAAGTAGTAACATTGACGACTGTACGCGCTACGTAGACAGTGGCTGTTAGTCAATAGTCAGTGAGTTTACCGCGTGACTCATTTCGGTGAATGCTCGTAAGTCGTAGGAAACTTTAAATTTGATCTTTGGTTTACTTTACTCATTCTATGTAGTCGGTGGTTTGTGTTATTGTTCTGTTTCTGTGGTTATAACTTATAAATTATAATAATATAACACTGATATGACATAAATCGAATAAAATATTATCAATTTTCTTATCAGTTATATTATTTATTTACAGCAAACAACGATATTGATGACTTGCGAATAATTGTTGTCGATGGCTCTGAATAGTGCATATTATGTTTTGTTTATTGGAAAATCGTATTATTACTATTATTAGTTATTACCAATCAATAATCACCGTAATTACCAATTGATCAATACTTAACTTACGCGTTTGAAACATTTGCAGTCGTGCGTTCTTTAAACTATGGTACGGATTATTGAGTAGTCAAACGTCGAGTTATTACTTACTGTAGTGAAGTGTTCTAGTATTCAATTATTCATCAGTGTTCTTATATTTTATATACTATACGTTCTACGTTGCGTGCAACAAAAATTATTATTAGTTACAATTTTATTATTACATTTATAGTAGCTACTGTAGCTATGCGGTATTACCTATGTCTTATTCATTAAACGCGTCTGTTGGATATAATTAGAATTCTTTATTTACGCATAGGGTAAGTGAATTTAAATAAAACCAATATTTTGACAATCTTGATGTTGTTCTTTTTTTTATTCAAAAATGAATAAACACAAGGGTTTTCAATTTTACTGGTAATTTTTTTTAATAATTTTCTCAATAGGATTCAATGTCTCTGTTTTACTAATGCACAACTTATTAAAATATTATTTCAGCATTTCCTATTTTATATGATTAGCTTTAATATTAGAGTAAATTAACTTATTTACAAACAAAGTAAGAAAATATTCTCCATTTTTTTTTTTTTTTTTTATATTTTAATATTTAAGCAAGTTATGTCTGTAAAATATAAATATTTTATGACGCATTCTCTTAACATTAAACATAAATTTTCAGTAGGGGAATCTTAACAATATTTTAATTTTTAAGTATTAATATTCAGAATTTTATATAGCTACCTACTCATAATTTGTTTAAAAACAGAAATATTTTAAGCATTTCAGGTAAACAGATCTCCTAAATTAAATTTATTAATTCACTTAAATATTAACCTAACTGCATACCTAGTTAAGTAAGACATTATCATACTGGTACGTTACCTCTTAGAGAGAATAACTAATGTATAGTAAAAATAATACCCGTGTTTAATTTCTGTTGACATAAATTTTGGAAATAAATAAAACTATATAAGTATACTAAAAATATATTATATATATATTTTCAGAAATAAGTAAAGATGACGTGGTTAAAGATAAAAGTACTTTTATGGAAAAGCTTACAACTACGAAAAAGACATTGGTTGAGTACTATAATTGAAATAATAGTACCGTGTTTGTTATTTCTTTTAATCAATGATGTAAAGTCACAATTATTATTTGAAAATACATATGAACCAACAGTTGTTAACCAAACTATACCAAACCCTATTTCTGAAGACATTATGTATCAAGTATTTAGATCATCTCATTCAATAGGACATTTTATTTATACTCCTCAAACTAATGAAACAGAACAGATCATGAAAATAGTACAAAAAAATTTGGACATTTCAAATGATAACATTGAAACAGCTATTAATGAAGATGAAATGATAAACAAATTCAAAATTAAATTCAATAACAGTCAAAGCACTTTAAGTCTTATGGGATTTGGAATTGTTTTTGAAGAAACTATAAATTCCCAAGCTTTAAAGTACAAGATAAGAAGCACAAATGATTTATGGCTAACAGATAATTTATTTCCTCCATATGAGATACCAGGGCCTATGGATTTTGGTGATGAATACCTAAATTATGGATTTTTAGCATTGCAGTTAACTATAGACAAAGCTTTTATTTCGTTGAATGCCCATAATAGAAATGGTCTTAATATAAATGATTATAACTTAGATATTCAGTCGTACCCTTATGCAAGTTACTTACAAGATTCATCATTTCAAAATTTATTTAATTTGCTTTTGCCATTTTTCACAGTTTTAAGTTTTTTGTTAATGTGCTCTAATACAATTAAAAGAGTTGTTGAAGAAAAAGATTCAGGTGTAAAAGAGTTAATGAAAATTATGGGTCTTAAACCATGGATGATATGGGCAGGATGGATATTACACAACTTTTTTACATATGCCATATCAATCACAGTTATTACTTATCTTACTTGTTTTGAAACACCTCTTGGTCACGCAAAAATATTAAATTATACAAATCCATTCCTTTTTTGGATTTTTTTAATGATGTACATGGTTGCTGGAGTATTTTTTTGTTTTTCAATTAGTAGTTTATTCAATCGACCAATAATTGCTTTAATTGTTGGTAGTAGTGTATGGTGTCTCACTTACACTTTACCCCAAAACTTTATAAAACCTTCTACAAGCTTTCTAATTCAAACACTATTCACATTATTTCCAAATTTTGCAGTATTAAAAGCTTACATAGCTATATCATCACTTGAAACTCAAGGAAAAGGTCTTCAATTTTCTACTTTATTTACTACTGGAAAAGGCGGTAACAATTTTTCTGTTGGTTTTATTTTAATAATGTTTGTTGTTGATAGTTTTCTTTATGGTTTTTTTGCTTGGTATATTGACTCGGTCATGCCAGGAAAATTTGGTGTTGCAAAACCATTTAATTTCTTTTGTAAATGGCCAAAAAATAAGACTGAAAATAATGTAATGGTTCCCATTAGTAAAAGCAACAGTAAGCTTTTTGAAAAACCTCCTGACAATTATGAAGTTGGAATAAGTGTACAGAACTTGCATAAACGTTTTGGAAATTTTTATGCAGTTAATGGAGTAAATTTGGACCTATACAAAGGGCAAATTACTGCACTTTTAGGTCATAATGGTGCTGGAAAAACAACCACAATGTCAATGATTACAGGTAGTTTTTATATTTTATAATAATTATTATTTTATACAACTATATTAATTGAATTATTTTTTCAAAGGGTTATTTTCTCCAACAAGTGGTACTATAAATGTTAATGGAAAAGATTTATTTAGTAACATTGATGATTTCAGACAAGACCTTGGTTTGTGTCCTCAACATAATTTACTTTTCTCTTATTTGACTACTTTGGATCATTTAATATTTTTTGGAATGGTATGTATTAAATGTTTTATTCTAGGTATATAATATTTTGGAAATCTTAATATTTTTGTAATTGGATTTAGTTGAAAGGTTTGCCATTACAAAATGCAAAATCAGAGGGTCTACATTTGCTTAAACTTTTAAATATATTGCAAAAAAAAAATCAACTAATAAGTAACCTTTCTGGTGGAATGAAACGAAAGTTGTCTCTTGCAATTGCGTTAGTTGGCAATCCTAAAGTAAAGTTTTAATTTAAATTCTATGTTATTTGTTAATGTATAAGTAACTAATAATAAAATTCATCTTTTGTTTTTTAGATACTAATATTAGATGAACCAACATCTGGAATGGATCCTGAATCTCGGAGAGAAATGTGGGATTTACTTTTGGTATGATAATCCATTTATTTTTTATTTTTAAACATTTTTTATTAAATTTTAGTGTGTAATATGTTGGGTTCTGGACTTTAGCACTAAAAATCACTAAAATATGCACTTACCTATGATCTGATAAACTTAAAGATATGCACTAAAAATAAAAAAAAGCATTTAAGAAATAATTAACAAAAAGGATTAATTTGATATAAATATAAAAAAAAAATTGTAATTAAAGAATAATTTTTAATTAATTAATTTAAAAAATAAATTAAAATCATTATTAATTGGATTTTAAAAAATATACATTTATATATAATATACGTAAATATTAACTAAAAATTTGTTGTTAATAAAATGTTAACCTTCATGATCGCATTGAACTATAAGGTATTTTTGAACATTTTCAAACTGAAAAGATCTTTAGTTATCGGTTAGAATACACTTAAATGCCGAAAATGAACGTTCCATGTCTTCGAAAGTAATGGGAGTATACTTGAAAAATACTAAATCATAAGTACGATAAGTACGCATATCAGACTTTTTCAATTAATTATCTCAGTTAACTACATAGTTTTCAATTTGTTAAGTATTTATAAATCAAGTTCATGTGCAACATTTTTGTGACAGATAGCTACACAAATAGTATTACTACACTCAAAACAAATTTTTGTAAGAAAATCAACATTTTAATTAATATATTTTGAATCAATCGATAATAATCGTTAAATATGCTTTAATAATATAGCAAAAAAAAAAATATATGCATAAACATCTAAAATATGCAAATAACCCTAAAATATACGAAAATATGTAAAATAAAATTTTATAGTTGAACTCTCTGTACTATAAAACGTAGTTGTATATCTTTGCTATGTTTTACATCACCTATGATGGATATGTAAATGCTATAAGTCCTAAACCCTGGTTATATGTATACATATAATTAGCTTTTTTTTTTTTATTATTTCAATTTCAATACACAATATCAATTTATAATGGATAAATGTTATTCATTTAAAATAAATAAGTACTAAAATTAGGACATTAAACATAGACATCCCCAGAAATTTGGGGGGGGGGAATTCATTTATAAAATGAATGAAGATTTTTTTATATATTTTATTTATGGTACATTATTATGTTTTGTCATTATTACATTTAGGTATTGTTTTTATACATTTTATTTACAGAATATTATTATTTCTCGTCATTATTACAATTAGATAACAAAATTCTAGTTTAGCAAGTACTTTGTCTTACCTTCTCCCTCTACTGGGGAAGCTTATGGCATTAAACATTTTTTTTTATAACTTTTAATGTTATCCATGATATTTTTGACTAGTAAATATAAGTTATAAATGTTTTTAAACATTTAAAAATATATAAGACATAAGAAGGATTTATATATATGTAAGCTCATACTATTTATGTTTTTTTCTTTATTTTATAGGATTTTATGTTCTTGAGCAATATATTTATTATTTTCATGTTATATAAAACAGATTATTAGTATACCATAATTTTTTTTATTTTAAATATTATGTTTTATTACTTTCTAGTACATTTTTAGTATAAATGTATTTCTATTTTTATTAGTCTTTTAGAGGAACAAGAACTATATTAATTACAACACATTTTATGGAAGAAGCTGATGTCCTTGGTGACAGAATTGCTATTATGGACCACGGACAAGTTAGATGTTATGGCTCTTCATTATTTTTAAAAAAAGCTTATGGTAGGAAAAAAATGAATCAATTTGAACATTACAAAATAATCATACATTTTATTAAAAATAAACAGGAACTGGTTATAATTTGACTATTGTAAAAGAAGAATCATGCGATGAATCTAAAATTACAGAAGCAATTAAAAAAATTATTCCAGGAGCAGAAGTTCAAAGCTCATTGACTGCTCAAGTTGTCATTAATTTACCCAATGATAATACTGATCAATTTTCTGATGTTTTTAGAATGCTAGAATTTAATAGAGAAAAATTATCTATAAAAGGAATGGGTATATCTTGTACAACAATGGAAGAAGTTTTTCTAAAGTAATATGATTTTTTCTTTAATAAACATTTTTATATTTTAATTAAAATTATTAATTAATATTGTTATTTATTCAATGAACTATATAGATAAAGAATCCTATGTATGAAATTGCCACTTATTTTAGTATTGGTTATGAATTTTATGATAGCTTTTTCACAAATGAAATCTAGATTAACTATCTTCTATTTGATATAATAGTGTTATGTACATCAAGTGGATATTTTTGTATAGCTCTTATTTATATCATATTTTGTTGTTGGAAAATCATTCTACTTTATAACAGTTAATTTTATATTTTGGCAATGATTCTAAATAATTGTATTTTTAGTTTATCATTTGGTTTATATTTATTATTTTCTATAGCAACTGGGTTCCCAACCTTTTTAGCCAGTGGTGGTGCTCTTTTGTTGCTCCAAATTTATCAATAGTGCCCTTTTGTGAATACCACAAAGAATATGATAAAAATGAACACTAGTTTTCATCCATAACCAATTTAAATAATTTTATTGAACATATTTTAAATAAATTACAAAATTATAATTGAAAATAAACAAATATTACAATATAGAAAAACTGATTTAAAAGTTAAAATGAATGAGATTTTTGTAACTGCATATTTTTGGAAATTTGAGTAATATATGGTTCAATTTGTTACAACTGGATACAGAGGTCAGGTTCTACATTAAGATGATTTGAATATTTGTTTTTAGTAGCTGTGTAGGCTGAAAATCTTGTTTCATATCGATAAGTGGTAGCAAAGGGTAGAAGTATTCTCATTACTCGTTTACTCAAATCTTCAAAACTTGAATTTTTTAAATTTACTCAAAATTAAATGTAAGAATTGCTGCTAAAAGTGGATTTTAATGTTGAATCTGAAGTAATATTGATCAAAATCTTATATTCAAATTAAAGACAAGTTTGAGGGTTTTCCACAAACTGAAAATGGATGCACTTCCCATTAATACTTTTTTAACAACACCTTTCGATTTGTTTTTTTTTTTTAACTACAATAAATTGTTAAAAAAAATTTTTCATTTGCAGATAAGTCATGGTGCTCCTAATTTAAACGTGCACCTAACCGATTTTCTATATTATTAATGTTCAATACTAAGGGCGCACTATGAGCATTTTAGCATTTTTAAATATTAATATTTGACATATTCTTAGCTTTTTAAAAAATTAAAATACCATAAAAAAACTGACAATAGAACATAAAAAATGTTCTTACTTTTAAATTTAATGATAGATCATTTTATTCAAAATATATGTGGGTTTTGGCATCTTCTTAATATTTTTATTATTTCTTTGAGCCTTTAAGAGTATATTATTAAAAATTGATTATAAATTATTCTTAACAATTAAAGGTTCAAAAGTGTTATGTTTATATAATTATTTATATAATAAAAAGATTTTATTAGCGTATGTAAAAGAAATATAGTTTGATATAGTTTATGTGACAAGGATAACAATATATAAATAGTTACTAAATTCTATTTTTTAACATGTTATTTTAAAAAAATAAATGTTTTTATTCTTTAGAGCTGAAAACAATATATATGATGATGATAGTGATGGATCATCTATAAATACACCAGTTGATGCTAGTACTTACCAATTGATTATTACCAAAGAAATTGATTGTAAAGTTGATCAAGTAACCAATCTAATTCAACAGTATGTGCCTGAATTCATTTTGATGGCAAATATGGACACGCAAATTATATTTAATCTACCGGCTAGAAAAAAAAATCAATTTGGTGCCCTATTTTCTGCTCTTGAATTTCAAAAACAAAACTTCCATTTGAAAAATGTTAAAATAACTAATTCAACTACAGGCAATATTTATCCAAAGTAATTTTTTAGTATATTATTATATCGAATTATATTTCTATCAAATATTTAAACTTTAATGTAGGATAGACAATAAAAAGAACTTGACATTGAATAATTATTTTGGTGACAACAATAACCAACGGTGAGAAGTTCATGCATGCTTATTGTTTTCTATCCTGTCATTTGTCTTTTTTTTTTCAATATCGTGTTAAACTGACTGTTGGTTGTTCTTATTCATTAATCACATTTTGTTTAGTTTATATTTTATTTAACGTTACAATTGTTTTGTTTGGGAAATGTTAGTCATTTTTCACTATAATTTTAGTTAATCTGTAATTAATAATTTAAATTGTTAACATTATTTATGTAATTTACACATATTTGTTAGTATTCCTATTTATAGATTTATTGTAAAATATGTATATACATATCATGAGATTTTTAAAGTTATAAGAAATATTACATTTAATTTTTTAATTTACAGTTCAGTTGCAGCTGGAGATGATAGTTATGAACCAAAACAAGCATCTTGTAATGATGTCACACAAAGTAAATTTTTTTAAATTACTATCTTTATGAAATACAAAAATAAATTAAACATAATGTTAATGTTTGTAAACAAATAAAAGCTTCTCCTAAATTTTATTTTCTTAACTGTTTTAAACTAAAATAACATTTCAAATTTATATTGATAATTTTTGATTAGATAATGTTTATATAATCTTTGATATTTACAACTATCTACTATAAAAATTTGATCCTAGGACAAATCCCTATATGAGATTTTCTCAATTGAAGTTAACAATTCCTAGTTGAGTTTTTATTTATATGTTATACATTTTTTTTTTTATCAGTGTTCTATGTTTTTAATGAATGTGTCATATTTGTATTATTTTAGTATATATTATTATTCTATTGTTAACATAGTCATTTAGTATATTTTAAACATTTAAAAGCAATTAAATTTTTAATGCTTTACAAGAAATATATTTCTATCCAATATACTGTTAGTATAATACTTGATGTTGTAATTTTTAAGACATATTACTTTATATGCTAATAAGTTTTAATTTTTAATTATAAAATTCAAAATATTAAATGAACAAACTCACAAGAATTAACAAGAATGTTGATTAAAAAAACTACAAAAACTTATATTATTTATTTTTTATATAGCATAATATTTTCTATTTTCATATTCTTAAATTTTTCTTGATACCAACCTAATAAAGCAATGATTGTGAAATGTATTATAATATTATCAATTAAATTAATTTACATTTTATGAACATTATAAATAAAATTACAATTCAATAACTTATGTATTTAATGTGTTATAGTATTGTTTAGTTTATTAGTTAGTAAATTCTAATCATTGACTATCATTTATTTATTTTTTTTAGCTTTGATGCCAAAGTATGCAAATGGAATAATTTTAATGAAAAATCAGTTTAAAGTATTGTTGGAAAAAAAAGCCATTTATACATATAGGAGATGGCTTTTTTCATTATTTTTCGTGAGTTATAATTATGTTTTTTTATGTAAACTAAAAAAAATATGTGATATTCATTAGTCAATATTAATATAACCTATTATTAGTTTTCCAATAAAATATTGTTATTTAGTTATTATAAGTAAAACGAGTTTATCTTATCATTAAATAAGACATTGTAGTCATTAAAGTGTTGCATTTTGCCTATGTGTAAATATGTATAATATAATTAATGGCTAATTGGCATTTATTAATTAAACAAGTACACATGATTTTTAAATTAAATATTTAAGTTTGTAGTTATTTGAAATTTAATTTTATTTATTTATTTAAAATATGTCAGCATATCAATTGGTTTACAAATTAATTATAAGTCGCAAATGTTCAATAATATTCATAAATAGTTATTGGAACTTCTGTTTATGGTTGTAGTTATAGATTTCTTTGCCTTTACTGTCATCTAATAAGAATTGGTCTTGTAAAAGTTGCGGTTTATTTTGCTATTTTTTGTTATGGCTCTTATGTTGTTATAGAAGCCATGCTTCAATGGAGGCTTGGATATTGGTATGAACATTTTTCTAGTCTTGAAAGAAAGGTTGATAGTTTATAAAGGATATTTATTCTTAATTTTAAATTAAAATAACTATGAAAAATGTTTGCATATTATCTTCTTCTTTTTTTAGATATTAGGACAACTTTTGAGAACTATGTATTGAGTTTTAAGTTCTAACTATTAAAATTGAAAATTTCATAAATTTTTTTATTTTTAATTTTAAGTTTTAATAAAATTTGTCTATACTTAAACTTCAATTGGTTATGGAAAAAATAAATTAAATAGTTTTAAGAACAGTTAATAAAAGATCTTTCGCTAAACTATATATAATCTAGTAAAAAGAAATTCTAAATATTCATAAAGAATAAAATTTAAAAAGAAAATTTTGAAGTTTAAAATTATTATTATTATTATTATTATTATTTAAGTCATAATTTTTAAATGTATTGACAAAAAGAAATCCTGTAAAATCAATTTATTTTTTGTTCAGCATGGATCTAAAATATATTGTGTATTAGATCTAGTACTGTTAATAATTAGTATTTCATAATTATACTTCATAAACAAAATAACTTATATTAAGTAAAGATTATGGTTGTTTGGTGTCAAAGTAATAAATACTATTTGTACAAGTAGGGTGATGAACAAAAAGCATTTAAAAATATTAATTTTATTTTTTATTTTTTTTTTCCAGGGTATCGGACCAATTCTGTTAGGCTTATTAGTTATGAATTCAACTAGTTATTTAATCAATCAATCTGCTGTTTCCCAAGGATTAAATATGTCATTAAGTACCTATAAAGATAGTAGTGTATATTACCGTGCTGGAGATAATTCTTCTGAGAATTTGGAACCAATATTCGTAGCTTTATCTAGATTAAATAAAGCTACTGTCAACGAAACATCGTCAGAAAGCAATATAATTAATGGTAAAATTAATATAATCATCTTAAATCATAATAAAACAAATATAATTACATAATATGTATCTTATGAGATAAAACATTTTTAATTTTAGACATATGTTATTATCTTATAAATATCCTGACTATTCTTTGGTCCAAAAACACTAAACATAATCTAAATTAGAATATAATTAACATGTATTAATTAATTTTGGTATAGTCTATATTGCTATCACAAATAAAGTTATTTTTAAACCGCAAGTCATGTTTGGGTAGTCCATCCACTTTATCTGACCTATTTCAAAAATATGTCAAAAAAAAATAATTTTTTTTTGGGAAAATTTAGTTTATTAGGTAAAATGGATGGGCGAAGTTCATGGAGATACAAAACTTTGCTGTGAAAATCGAGTATAAATTATTTAGAAAAGATACATTATGACTTATGAGTACATTATTAAGGAAATAATATTTATTTTTTTTATATGTATTAAAAAACATACCATTGCTTCAATAAAAACATTGTTAATTTAGAATAAATTGTAACTTGGAAGTAAGAATCAACAAATTAAATAGTTATTAAAACTTGAAAAACATAATATTTAGTTATTTAAAATAATTATTCATGATTTTATTTTTATATTAAAATTGTATTTAATAATAAAATATTTGTTTAATAGATCTATTAAAAATGTGCCAAGATGATGTATTCAATTACAGAACAAATCTTATGATCGCTGGTGACTTTAACCGAACAAAATCAACTGTTTTATACAATAATATAGCTATTCATACTCCAGCAATTGCAGTAAATCTTTATTCTAATGCTCTGTTACAAAAATTGTCAGGAAATAATAATTCATACATTTCAACTGTCAATGAACCGATTCTTATGAATGATATGGTAAGTTATTTATCTTAATTAAATATACAATTGAGGTAAGTATTTTTATTTATTTTTTTTTTTATTTTTTTTTTTTTTTTTAGAGAACATGTGATGAAAAACTGGGAACGGGACTAGTACTTTTTTGGATAACTACTTTTACACCTGGTTTATTGTATTTAATCGGATATTTTATAGCATTACCATTAAATGAAAGAGTAAGTGGCATAAAACACTTACAAATGATGACTAAACTTTCACCAATCATGTATTGGGTTACTTGTTTCATCTGGGACTATTTTTGTTATATAATTGTGGTTTTATTAACATTAATTGGCATGTATTTTATGGATAAAAACGATTTGTTGACTGATATAAATGAATTTGGTAAGTTAATCTACTATAAAGTTTAAATCAAGATTATTTAGTATATAATTGAAATATGATTTTTGCAGGTACTTTATTAACATTATTACTTATTTATGGATGGAGTGCAATACTCAATGCATATGTTTATAGCTATTTTCAAAAAACATTTGTCAATTCTATGTTATTGTTCATTTCAGTTAATTTCATATTAGGTATTTTATTTATTTATATAAATATGCATGAATATTTTTAAGTTTAGCTGTTACTGTCTATTACATTATTGATAATTTATGGTTTATTTGTTTACAGGAATATTTATAAATATTACAATGTTTATTTTGAATGACTTTTTCGCACAATTTAATCAAATAAAGTTCTTTAACATATTGAATATTATAAGGTTAATTATTCTTATTGTTCCACATTTTTCATACTCAGCATGCATATCAGGGTTTATTAAAATAGCATGGGAAAACAACATGTGCAGAGTGTGCAAATCACGTTTTATAGCTGAAAAGTGTAAAAGTAAGTATTTAATTTTTTTTATTTTATATCAATTCAGATAAATATTACTAAAATTTAACATTTTAGATTATAGTGATTTTGAACGAAAAAGTTATTTTGTTTTCAAGTCTAATGAAAATCCAGATGGAATACTAGAAGAAACATTATTTTTATTATTTAGTAGCATACTATATATAGCTATTATATTATTATTTGATTATAAAATATTTCATCAAATATATCAGTTTGTTTTTAATAAAATCATTGGTACTGGTGTTAGTTATAAAGATGTTAATGAAGATCCAGATGTTGGTGGTGAAAGAGACAAAGTCGATGCAGCTAAAACTCATTCTAGTAATTAAAAATGTTTTTTAACAAATTACCAATAAATTTAATTAAACTGTATGTTTATATTTTAGATAATGTTTCATCACCATTATTGTTGGTTGATGATTTGGTTAAAAAGTTTAGTTTTAAATTTACTGGTGTCAGGGGTATAAGTTTTACAGTTTCACCTGGTGAATGTTTTGGATTACTTGGCGTAAATGGTGCGGGTAAAACAACTACTTTCCGAATTTTAACTGGTGATACATTTCCTTCAAAAGGTGATGCTTCTATTATGACAGATAAGTTGTACAAACTAAGCTCTAATATAAATCAGGTTAGTATAAAAATATTGTACGATTTTAAAATTAAATAAATATTTATGTAAATTAATTATAAAATTGTATAGTATGTTTCTTTGATTGGTTATTGTCCACAATTTGATGCAATAAATGATCAACTTACCGGAAGAGAAACTTTAAAACTAATGGCAATTTTAAGAGGAATACCACCAAAAAATACTAAAAAACATGTTGATAAATGGATTAAACTTTTAGGTATGTAAAATGAGATATTGTAAGTACTTTTAGAGAATGTAGTTATTATCTAATACCAAATACCTATATTGTTTAATAAAAAAAGAGATCTTTAAGTTATAAGTGATAAGTTTAATAAATCTGAACAATATTTAACTTGAACTACTATCACAAAAAATAAAATTTACTTATATTTTATTATTTGTACTAGTAAATTAGATATAATAATAATTAGTAATCATATTTTTGAAAAATTTTAACTTCTCTTAAGATCACATTAAATGTCAACATTTTTTTTTTCCAAAAGGTTCTATCTAATCATATACTAATTATCTTAAAAATTTGATTATGTGTAAATTGAAATAAAATGAGAAATCACTGCCATTGTCACAATGCTAAGTAGGTGACATTTTGGCAGTGCATGACAGCAATAAAAATTAAATCTAACAATGTAAATATGTTTATGCAAAATAATCGAAAAGCCATAAAAACTATTCTAGAGTAAAAATACTTGTTTTGAAATTTATAGAAAACAATAAGTATGAGAGATAAACATTGGGATTTTATATTAATCTAAATACACAGCTATATTAAAAACACAAAAACCTTTTTTTTACTTTTTTTAAATAGCTCCAACTTTTTAGTACTTAATATTTCAAAAAACACCATTGAAAATCCTTCTTAAATATTGTTTCTATAAATTTCATAATAGCTATTTTCACTTTAAAACTACTTTTTAATTTTGTTTTTGATGTGTTTCTACTGTTAAAAATCACTAGTATAATTTCTTAATGTTTCATTTTTATTATTGTTATGATTGTTAAAGGCCTTGAAGAATATAAAGATCGAATTTGTGGAAAATATAGTGGGGGAAATAAGAGAAAATTAAATACTGCAATGGCATTAATTGGAGATCCTCCTGTTGTATTTTTGGACGAACCTACTAGTGGAGTAGACCCTGTAGCAAGACGTAATTTATGGCAGCTATTAGCTGCTAGTCAAAGAGGTGGACAAGCTGTTGTTCTTACATCACATAGGTAAAAAAAATTGTTTTTGTGTTTTTATTAAATTATAATTATTTGATTTACCTAAATAGTATGGATGAATGTGAAGCACTTTGCAATCGTTTGACAATAATGGTAGATGGTGTAATGAAATGTATCGGTAATATACAATATTTGAAAAATCGGTATGGGCAAGGATTTACAATTATGATAAAATTACGTCATATTGAAAATTTCAATATTGCTGAACTAAAATCTGATATAGAACGTCAATTTTCTTCTGATATCAATCTAAAAGATGAACACAAGGTAAGATTGAACTATTACGCTTTTATTTTGTTAAAATAACTTCATTTAATTACAGTGGTGCCTAGGTTGTGTGCAGCAGTATTTTAAAGAACCAAAACAACATATATATATATATATTTACCACATGTATTTCAATTAATATTTTATAAGGACTAATTATCTGATTGTCTATTATTGCATTTTGACTTTTTGTCTAACTAATTTTAACATTTAACCAATTCATCTCTACATCCATATTTTTCTATATATTTGTTGGCCTTGTGATCCCACATAAATACTAATAATCTTATAAACAATATCCATGTTTTTAATTCATTCAGTTTTTTTAATTTTTATACTCATATTTTTTTTACCAAGATTAATGAGTTAAAGCAGTTATCAATGGGAAATTGTGTTTGAATATAGATATGTTTTTAGGATGGGTATAATTTCTTTTTCTTTTTTGATCGTAACTGATTTTGTGTTATGCTAATTATTGAAATCTTGTTACTGTAGCAGCTGAATACCTATCTTGATATAAATATTTATTTAAATTCAACTTGTGGCTTAGAATCTATATGGTTTATGGTTAATTATATTCAAAACACCTATGATTCATCAATTGTCCTTACAAAGGAAAAAAACATAATATATTATAGTATAGTATCATGCTACTACTTCTGGGCCCTTGTAGTATTCATAGCGAGAAACTACTGCTAAATTTGATTCAAAGTAAAGTAACACTGTCAAAAAAGTTTTGGATCATTTTTTCTAGTCTCAGCTTTCTAAACCATATCAAAATGAAACAAATTTTGTAAATTTAAATATTTCATTAAAAAAAAAAAAAAAAAAAAAAAAATTAGATAATGTATAATCAAGTTGATTTGGTATCTCATACATCTAAAAAATTATTTAAAAATAAAATTATTTCTTTTTGTTTGTGTGCATTGATATTAACATATTATTATTTATATTTCAGGGTTTATTGCATTATCATGTTACTAACCCAAATATACCACTGTCAGAGATATTTGGTCAAATGAAAGTAATTAAAGAAAATTATGCTGTAATTGAAGACTATACTGTTAGTGACACTACTCTTGAACAAGTATTTATTGCATTTGCCAAAAAACAGGCAGTTTTAAATACAATAACATAAGATCTTGTTAGTTTATATTACTTATATGCATTTATAATAATTAAAAATTAACTTTGAGTAGTTCTTGTATTATTTTTATTGTACTATTATACATTTATCCATAGAGTTCCTCAATTTTCAAAATAAAATTGATTTATTAAATCTAATTTATTTTTATTTTTAGTATCATTAAAGTATTAAATAAGAACAATAAGGTTAATGCTTGTTTGTTATAACCAAACAAATTGTTTATACAATGTGATTAGTGATAAAATATTTTATATAACTCTGTTATTAAAGTTTTTTATTTAATCTTTAACCTAATTACTTAAACATTTATAGTATATTTTAATTATATTTATAATAATCTTTAATTTATAACATAAAAAAAATGTGTTTTTCACCAGACTCAATGTGGTGACTTAAATATTTTATTCAAGACGTCTAATATTTTACTTTTAAACATTAAAAATATATTATAAATTCATCTAATATGATAAAGTGAAGTAAAATTGTTATTTATCTATATTTATAATTTTGCACTATGTAATACGTAAGCTATTGTTTAAAACTTGTATTGTATCTATCAATAAATATTTTTATTGATACAAATTATTTTTTTTTTTTTCATGGATTATTAATTAATTTATATTAATTGTGTATTGATTCAATTATTTACATTTATATGTTTTGCCTAAAAACCAAAATATTTTTTATTACCTATGTAAATAATTGAACTGGATAACTTAATAATATTATATTGTTCAATCAATTTTTTTATTTTAACAAACGTACTTTTGGTTAAGTTTTAGTTATTATTTTTTAGGTTGTATTTCGATGATCAATTTATAAAGATACCAATGCACCTACGGACTACAGAGATGAACAGATAATGAGATAATAATATTAATAATTAGGGCTCGGAAGTTAATGCGTTTGCATATCATGCTTGCTAAGTTGTATTTAATGCTAGATGATATAGAAATTAATTTCAAAGTACCACGGTTATATATGTGAAGTTTTATTTTGCATGTTTTTGCATATTTAGACATTTTTTGCTTAATTGGCATGTTTATGCATTTTATTATATTAGCGATCATATTATTCAAAATTTTGATATTCCTATCATATTATTATGAAAAAAAAAATATACAATGATATATAAATGGGAGTTTGGTACCAATATAAAATGTTAAAAATAAAATGTTAATAGTCATTAAGTAATCTCCATTCGGTTTATCAGTGTAATGAAGTTGATACAAGTTCATAAAGACTCCGTAACATTTAAAATCTATTTATTTTTTTACATTCTTATAAATAAAATGCAACTTTTATAAAATTAATGGAAAATTCTTATTATTTTGAAAAATTGTTAATGATATAATTTTTTTAATGTGCATATTTTAAATGCATAATTTTAGATTTTTAGAGCATATAAATTCAAACATTTGAACTTTTTAAGGCATATTTCAATGCATATTTGGCCAATTTTTGTGCATAAATGTATGCATATTTAGATTTATTTTTTTTGAGAGCATGAACATCTGAACCTTTAATTAATCATAGGTATCTTAATAGACCCAAGTGTGTCATAAACTATGAAATAATGATAACAAATGATGCAGTATAGGTACTGTACATGGAAAGCAATGCTACAAAAATCACAGCACAATAAGTTTATTGATACCTTTAATTCAGCACAAAAAATATATAAACTGCTGCGCTTTATAGAGTACTCAGTAGTTAGTACTATAACAGTTAGCACAGAATATAATATTTTTAATTTTTTAAGAATTAATCCATTCTGTGATAGTGTGGTACAATGATAATTATTAGTTAATAGTTATTACTTATAGGAGTTCTAGCACAAGCCACGAAACAATTTTTTTTTTTTTTTTGAAAAGAAAACAGCGTGACGATAATACGAGTAGTATGACTACAAGTCGGATACATTGGTATGGTGGCGAGAATAAGAAAACCAGGGGTTCTCCGTATTTCGGTGTAATTACCAAATATACCGACTAACTCACAATTGTTTATGTTTCAAAAAACATTTTAAAATTGATGTTTCATTATTAATTTAAAAGCTAATTAAATTAATTTTGCATACATTTATACCCAAACCCCTAATAGTGTATTAGTCAAAATTAATACACTACATAGTACACGAAAATATCTATTCCGAGACAATACTAGTCGAATAAGGTTTTTCGTTTATTTATATTTTTCTTTATTATTCTATGTATATAGGTGATGTAGGGTACCTATCTTATTTCGTGATAAACGAGATTAATACAGTTTATTCAGTTTAATTGTATCATTGATCTATAAATTTACGTTAAGAGTCCTTAAGTAATAATAATTTATAGGCGTACCTTTATTATCAATAAACAATAATAATTTATTAGGAATACGGACTTTTTCCGAAACCATGGAATAAACCTACAGAATAACAGACATCAATTGCGACTACTGGTGGTCCTCGTCCGCCGTGTTTTGTGGTGGTGAATGGTGATAACGACGCAGACGTCGGACGACTCGTGATCGTAACATTCGTAACTCGGGACGAGTGAAAATCGGAGAAATTTACGTTGTAAAACGTTTCGTGTTTCATTGTTTCGTACCTATTACTTCCGTTCACCCACTATTATTACGGCGGCCAGTAGCCACGACCTACCGAAATCAGTAACGAATCACTATCTACAACGACGTTTGATCCGATCGTACGATTTCATTGTCTATTTGCCAAGAGTGGTCTTAGGACTCGGTGCTCGAACGTCGTGGATAGCTCAACTAGAAGCTGCTATTCCGACCACCATTGGCTACGGACAACGATCAATAGTATTAAAGGGTAAAACATATTGACCATTTTTTCACGTCGGTAAGTGTTTTTAGACACATAATCAACCTATTAAAAGATCTAACTTATGCTTTGGTTTGTAATGTTTCATCACAATTTTATTTTTTATTATCAGTTTATCATGGCTCGGGGACAACAAAAAGTGCAGTCACAGGCTAAGGCCGCCGAAAAACAAGCCAAAATGAAGAAGCAACAGGGTCATAGCGCTAACGAACAGAAAAAGGCCGCACAAAAGGCATTGATTCACGTTTGCACCGTTTGTAAAGTAAGCTTCTTTTGTAATATTAGTTTGTATACTTGGTTATAGTTCTTAGGTAGGTATTTATTATTTTTAGAATACAATTAATTGTAAATAATAAATATTACCAAAATAATAAAATCAATAAACAAAGTAATCAGAGTGAAAATGTTTAGTATTTTTAATTTGTATTGAGTTATTTACAATAAACACCATTACTAAAATTACCATTCAATTGTTTACTAAAAAAATAAAAAAAAAATACATACTTTAAATGTATGTATTATAATATACTGTTCATTATTGACTTTAATCTACATTAGTGATCAGCTATTTTTTTTTTTTTTTATTATTATTATTTTCATTCCAAGTAAGGGATGGCAAATCCATGGTGTCGCTGTAAATTGCATACCATTTTTAATCACATTGTATGTTTTTTTAAGTGTCAATGAAATTAAATATGTTTGGGTGTGACGAATTAAATTCATTTTTTAATTTTTTATGAAATTATTTAAATTATTTATTTGTTGAGGATACAAATTTGGCCCATATCTGTGGTAGAAACTCTGCATTATTGGTTAAATAAGTTCCAAATAGTTTCAAATATGTAGTCAGTAAATTGTATTATTCTATTATGTTGTGGTTGCAACACCATTATATTGTATGCAAAACAATCTTTGACCACATTAAAACTTAAAAATGGAAGTCCAATTAATAATTTTAAGAAATTACTTATATTAGTATTGTTGTCTTTATAAGTCCAGCTGCTGTATTTTCCTGTACCGACTTTGGCCAAGATGAAATCTACATTTCAATAGAAGGCTAAACATATCTTGAAACATTGTGGATAGCCTTTTCAAAATCAGCATAGAACCGAATGGGACTGAATTGTAAATTATTTTTTTGCATTCTGTTACTAAATGTTACATATTGCCGATCGGAAATCGGAGTATTCAGGGCCACAATTTTTATAGTATATAGCAATGACCATTTTTTGGGGACACAATTTACTGTCTCCGAATCCATGGCACGGGAATAATTTTAGGGCATATAAAAAATGTAAATGTTTATGTTTTATTATATTTCATTATTTAATGGCACACTCTAAGAAAAAAAATGTAATTTCTAACTTGTGGCATTAAAAAACTTGTCATCCTTAGTCTAAGCCTTCTAAATTGCATAGGACTCCCCAGAAGTAATAATCTCACATTTTTTTTTCTTTAACTATTAATTATTAGTTTAAAAAATGATCAAAGTCTAATCATAAAAGAAATGAGCTGATTCAAAGATAGTATGTTTTTCTAAATTTTAACCCTCGAGACTATAATTTTCTACTATTTATATTAAAAAAAGACATTATTTGGTTAAAATTTTCAAGGATTTAAGACTTTAATTTATTAGGTTAAACTGAACTGTTTTGTATAAAAAAATTGCTAGACAAAATTTAGTTATAAAATAAATTATTAAATATAAATAAATAAACATTTAAACTTTAGATTTAAGTTTATACGTTTTTAATATTTAGAGTTTTTTTTTATAAAAACTTCAGTGTAATCTCATTGGTTCTTGATTATCTAAATTTAATAACAGTCATAAGTATTTTTAAATTGTTCTATATTTTATCGACTTATGTATTGATTTAAAATTAATGTCAAAAACTTTGATGTGAGAGCATGAAGAAATTTTTTTATTTAGTTTGATAGTAGTTAATTTTAATCAAATATTAAAAGCAACAAAACTGATTGGAAATGCTTGACAGAAATGAAATATATTCTATGTATGTAATATAGTCTATGGACAATTATGTTTAGTCCAGTCCTTAGGACAATCAATAAAAAAGAAGTTTCAGGAAGAAAGTTAATATTTTAATTACTTAATTGTTGATTCCATTATCTAATACATTTATTTTATAAGCAACTATACAATATTTATAATAAAATTAGATTTAGTAATTATTGTTATTTATTTAAATTTTATTGCAATAAATAATAGGTATTTAGTATAATTATTTAATGTAAATTTATGTAAATAATGATGTTTGTAAAATTTTATTTTTAGGCTCAAATGCCAGATCCTAAAACGTATAAACAACATTTTGAAAACAAACACCCTAAAAATGATATGCCTGAAGAACTGAAAGCTGTTTCATGAATGTATAATGATCGATTAAATTTTCTTTGATCACATGTAAAAACAAATGAATACCTAAACTATAAGTAATATTAAAGTTTTTTAAGTGATTGATGTGTTTTATTTTTATTTTTACTTCACAGTTGTGAATGTATCTGGTTTTTTCTTTATCTTTAGGTAATTAAATCTATAGTAGTATTTTAGACTTATAATAGTCCTATTATACTCTATATCTCCTTTCTAAGTTTAAAAAAAAAATTAAAATGTTGTTGATTTGTAGTGGGTACACATTCTAATTGATGAAACAGTTTTTTCAAACTTTTGTCAAGTTAACACAGGATCCACCTACAACAGTTACATTATATATAATTGTTTAATGTTTGTATAAGGTGCCTATTATAAATATTTTTATTTTAATCTAACATAGATTTAAAATAATTTTTTAAGTTAATATTACTGAAAAATATTATAGTCATAAATCAAATATGATCTATGGACATATAGTTTAATAGGTAATTAATATCTATAAAATTAAAAAAATAATATAATAAATAATGAATGTATTATTGTTGTTTTTGTTTAGGATTTTCTATACTTAGAATTTTTTGATTTTTTTAGAATGCTTTATAGAGTTAGATTTCCAAGCACTAGTAATAATTAATAATACATTTAAAGTGATGGTTTAATAATATTTAATTCTTGTAAATTTATGTTTCAATTAAAGTTTTGCCTTATGCATAAAATAAAGCCACTACTTAAATGTTGTTTTATAAATGGGATGCCAGAAAAAATAATTGTAATAAAAAAAAAACATAAGAATCTGGTGTTAAATCTTATTGTAATAGTATTATTTTAATTAATTCTATAAAATGTAAATTAATCATATGTTGAATAAATCTTTATCTTAAACAATTACAAAAGTATGGCTATAGATAACTTCTGAATACTTACCATATAGGTTTGAAAATTTATAATATTACACCTTAAATATTTTTGAACTAATGTAACCTGCAAGAAAAACTTATAAAAAAATCTTATATTAAATTGTCAAGCTTTTTGACTTTTAAATGGGTATATAAATAACTTAAAAAGAATCAAAATATTTTATTAAAAACTAATGATATGCTAATCTCAATAATAGATTGGAACTAAATGTGAACAAAACTAAAATTTTTATTAATACATATTTTTATGTAAATATACTAATTAATTACTTACATTTTATTCATTATGTTCAGAATAAAATATTAAAACATTATCACAAATCTAAGATAATAGTGATATTATCAAAGAAATAAATAGCACTTTTTTTATATACATAATATATATCTTTATACCTATTATTTATACTATGTACTATTTTATTCTTTAAATAAAAACTGAGAATTTAATTTAATATGTATTTTATTAAAATAAATAATATTTGAGTATAAATTATGAAGCTAAAAAGTAAATAGATACCAATTAAATAATTATTATGGTATCTATATAATTCATTAAATAATAAGTTATGTATCTCACATGTTGTTTAAGTTTTTTTAAGTGTTAGTATACTTGCAAAAAAGTTTAAACCATAAATTTTAATATTCTTTTATTAAAATGTAAATAATTTATAAATAGATCTCTACATAGTATAGGTACTTTTAATAATAAGCTATGCATAACTACTCCTTTGAGATTTGTAATAATCAATTGCATAGTTAAAATGTATGTATTATTCACTTTAAAAGTTAAAACTACAGAGTGCAGACATAGTTTTTAATTGTTATATTATTTACTATTATAAATTAATAGTTTATAACTAACATTTTTTTTTTGTATTCTTTTATCTTAATATACATCTTATGCATTTTTAAGTAACTTTATATGTGTTTTTCACACAAAAGATGTTTATAAAGAATTTGATTGTTTATGGACTTTGTGAATAATTTGGTCTTGGAGCGTTGATGACTGAAAAAATGTATTTCAAGTATTGCACTTCAATGATTTTTCTTCGGATTCTTGTGTAAAATTTTATGAATCCATTCTATGAAATTCATTAATTACAAAATATCACATTTATGTAGTCATACATAATCTTGATTAAATTTACTAAGAATTTCGTGTCAATTTAAATGTGATATTATAGAAAATTACATAGGTATTACAAATACAATATTTGTATGGATTTTCTTACTTATAAATCTGATTGTGAGTTTTTAAGTTTCCTTTCCATAAAAATAATTTATTGCAAACATTACTTTTATATGGTTTTACAGCATTTTGAATGTTTTTTTGATTTGAAATTGTCCCTTAGAAAAATAATTTATATAAACGTGACAGGTTTGTATGTATTTTTAACAGTAAGTATTAGTTATTTTATCGGCATTTATACATTTTTTATTTGAATATTTTTTTACCTATACCTGCGAGACTTATTACTTTTTTATATTTACTTTCTGCGTAAACCACTTTTTTGCAAACATTACAATTAAATAGTTTATCAGTGTTATGAATTATTTTATAAAGATGATGTTCGCGAAAAATATTTTTTGCAAATAAAACATTTGTATAGGTAGTTTTTTTTTCTTACAAATCTAATAGTGAGTTTTTAAGTTTCCTTTTCTAAGAGAATGATTTTTTACCAATAATGCATTAATTAAGTTTCATAACTATTACTTTGTCTTGAGAAAAGTATTGTTTTTTTTTTTTTTTTTTTTTTTTTTTTTTACCGATTACTTACTAACTTTAGTTCAGATGTTAAATTTTTAATTGAGGGTTCTTTATCATATATTCATATCAATATTGTAACTTCTTTACTTATTTTTTTATGTCATAATATGTTGTAGACGCATGATATAATATATTGTTTAATGAAATTTAATGGTTTTCTCTTGATTATAGAATCAATTATATCTGCTTCAATTTTTAAATCATGTTTCATCATTTTCTGTATTATAATATTTAATATCTTGCGTATTAAACACAATCAGTAACCGAAAAATGCAATGCGCTGGACATGCTATACGAAGCCAGAACAGTATCATAGTTCATAAGGATGACTATGGACGAGAACCCAGTTGGACAAAAGACCATCGGGGAGACCTCAATTGAGGTGTGAATATCTGATTAAAAAAGACGTAGAGGTACTGAATGAAGGACCGGATTTGAAAACACGAGCGATCGACTGATAGGGAAGGCTGGAGAATTGGATGTGTGACGGAATGGTCTTAATAGTCTACAAACCCCGAAGAAGAAAAATTTAAAACCTTGCATAGACCTGAAATTATGACTTAAATTTAAAATATTGATAAAAAAACAGATAAGTAGGTAATGCTCTGCTGTATATTAGGCTGTACATTCAGTGTACTAAATGATTGAAGTTTGTGATATATTGATATAAATAGCTAGATGATATCTTACAATTAATTTAAATTTCAATGTATTAAGTAAAATACAATAGGTAATATACATTACACTTACAAGTCACCTTAAATAATAATTTTGAACAAAATAAATAAAATTGTACTATACCTATTTTTTATGATTTTCAGTATAAGCATTATATATGAGTTATTAGGAATTATATATTAAATTTTTAAGTCTTAGCTACAAAGATTGAAAATTATATAGGAAAATGTTTAACTACAATTCGCTAATGTTTATGATTTTGACAACTATCACATCCCACTTCAAAGAAATCATCCAAAATAATTACTTTAATTTCTTGCAAATTTATACCGACGCATCTAAATTTCAACATGGAACCAGCTTTGCAATCATCATAGAAGAAACCAAAATCCTACATATACTTCCTCTGGAGAGCAGCATTTTCACTGCAGAAAACTACGCCATCTTAGAAGCAATCAAATTAACCAATCTGACCAATTCAAATAGGTAATAATATTTTAATAGTAAGCGACTCATTTAGTACTCTCATAGCACTCTAAAATCCCTTCTCGACAAATGAAATAACCCAAAACATTAAAACCGAATTATATTCTATAAAAAAAAAATATATATAGAATTTATGTGGGTACCATCTTACACTGGCATTACCGGTAACGAGATGGTTGACAAGTCAGCAGACACAGCGACTAAAAAACCATATTGCACCAACAATCACCGACATACCGATTATTGACATAAATATATCTATTAAAATAAAATAAATATGACATGGCAAAGTTACTGGGACTCCGTACTGCCGTTCAACAAATAAAAAAAAAAAAAAAATGTACCAAAAAGTGATATTATTTACTTAATTTAAACAGACGACAAGAAGTCACTCTAACTAGAGTGAGAATTGGACATTCTTCTTTGACCCGTCCATTCTTAATCAAAAAAGATCCACCACCCATTTGTAATAAATGCCAAAAAGATCTAACCATCCAACACATTATTCTAGACTGCTCAGATCTTCAGATCTTCAAAACATCCGAAATACTTTATCGATACCCAACAACATAGATGAAACTTTCAATGAAAAATCACCAAAAAAATTTTAAATTTCCTTACACAAATTGATATTGTAAACAATCTTTGACCAACGCATGTATTTATATTTAAGATTATTGTAACCCTTAAAATTTAGTTATTAATGTAATTCATAAAATGTAACATGTATACAAGCCTATAATAACCTCTGACGTTGAAACTTTTTTTTTCTTCATAAAAAAAAAAAGCTTTTAAAAAACTTAGATATAAATAATATATATTTTAGTATTTTTAAATTAATATATGAATCACTTGGGTGGGACCATATAATACATTTTATATTTTTTGAACAGAGTATAAATGCCATTACTACTCTAAAAGGTGATAGGTAACGACTAACGTCAGAAAACTAAAAACATTGCATAATATTAATGTGTGATCAGTACCTATATTCATTCGATTTATCATTCCGCTAATAATAATTAAGTATTCGTATTTCAATTTTCATTTAATCTGAGTTCTGTAGACACTAGACTGAATAATAGGCACTTAAAAGTAAAATTGTTTTGTAAAGATAAAGTTTAATTTATGTATTATTTCACGATTCTACGTAGTAAAAATTTTCATGACATTATTTTGTTCTTAAAATAGCAGGCACTGTTATGTTGGAAGATTTTATGCACGATAGACATCATGAGAAAAAATTTCTATGATCGTGTTGGTCGTTGAACGACTGTTGGTATTCATTATTCAGGGAACAGCGAATGTTAGTGTGTTATAAATTATAATTATTATTTGTTAGTTGTTACACAAAAGCGCTGTTCATTAAGGTCTAAGATATTTTTTTCCATCTGTTATGTATATTCCACGGTTTATAATTATAAAATTTATAACTTATTAGTTAGATTTTACTTAAAAGTTAGTTTAGTACCTAACTGAGTATACTGACTACCCGTCCGTTGTCACCGACTATCGTTACGCTAATTAGACCTACAACTTAAAAATATTTTAAGTTATTTTTAACATAAAATTCTTCATTTGCAATGTAAGTATAATAGTTCAATACCTATTGCTCAATTTTTTAATCATATAAATATTTACCAATGTACCTTAAGTATAACGGTAAAAATATATGATGGGATATGGGTGACGGTGCATAAATTATAAAATTGTTGAACTTTAATTGAGGGATTTTTATTTTCAAGTTACTCCAACAAGTAATAACTATCCAAAAATATCATTGAATAAGTTTTATTTTATTTGTATTCATTCATTTTAATTATTTCATTACACAGTTTTTTATAAAATTACTTAATAGTTATTTGCAAGTTTACAAAATAAGTACCTATTGTTATACATAGAAAATTGTCTTTTACAATTATACAGTTTTCATGTGCTATTTATAATTTTTTTTTTTAAATTATATTTATGAAAGCTTTTAGTTTTCTGATTGGTCCTCTTATTCTTCTAATAAGATATCTCGAGGTAGGTGTGGCTTTAGCCTAGAATTAGAGGTTTTATTGCCGCAGATTTTTTAATGGAGGTACTTCCAGTTTTATTTTGTCTTGGAAATTTTTAAACTATTTGATTATTTAAGTGAACAGAAGTGTAGTCGTCCCAAGTCCCAACAGTTTTGAATTGTAAAGTTGTTTGTTTTATTCAGTAATCAGTTGGTGTTCGTCCGCTGTCGTATGTGAGAGTTGATCACGTCACGCACGTTATTATAAGCATTATCTATTAAATATTATTTAACATAGATGTAGCGAAGGGAGGGAATGTTCCCCCCCCTGCGCTTTAAACTAAATTTCTCATACCAAACTTGAAAGTTTAACAGTTTAACTGTAAAACGAAAAAGCAAAAAAAAGAAAGATATCAGATAAAAAAAGCTCGATCCAATATTTTTTTATTTAATTGTGGGAGGAGGATTACACAAAGAAAGAAAAAAAAGAAAAGGTCTTCAGGTAAAAAAACTTAACCTAGCCCTGCGTGAACTCTTAGCACGATTTATGAGTCCGTCCGTCATGCCCCGCGCCACCACACAAGAGTCGACTAAACAGATTATGTCGTCCTCTTCTTCATCCAATTTCGATACAAGCTTAAAAGTTAAAAAAAATGTAAGACTTGTATTAACTTTATATTACTATTTTTAGGAAATCAATAAAAATAATGATTATTAAAACATGGACCTAGCAATCAATATACGCCCTCGGCCAAACATCTAGCTAGTAGGTAGGTTCCTCCCAGGGATCAAACACCAAAATATACTCTATTTTTATGTTTGCAAGCTGTAGCGGATGAAATGTTTGTAAACTAATTTTTTCCGATAGGAACTAAATAGAAGGGATGCAACGTACATTTATTGTACTTATATATAATTAACTACCAATAAATTTGAATAATATTGTTGAATTAGGAGTAAACAGAACAATGATTAAAATATTACCTTAAAATATTTGACGATTATCATAATATGGTAGACTTATTATAATTTGTATATTATAATATTCTTTTGACTTAAAATTAGTACCAAGCTTAAATTATACCAATGTTTTAGTGCAGTAAAATTTCTATAATACTGTTATTTCTTGTAGCTCAAGCTTAGTGCTTACAATTGTTATTTTAAAATTAAAAAAATACCGGCTTCAGTGAACTACCTAACTTAATTTAGAAGTTGGTTATCATAAATATTAAAATAAAATATTTCATATTTTTAGGGATCTAAGTACAAGTGCAACCTGTTCTATCGATTTTTCGTCAGTTGATTATTCAAACTACAATGACACAAATAGCATTAACAAATCTGATCGTGATATTACATTAAATATTGATGATGCAGTAATTATAATAGAAACTGATATTTAATGAAGGTTTCAAACTTATTTTTGATTTTATTTATGTTTTTAAATATTAGGATATATTTCTTTCAATTTATTGGAAAAATGGTATGTTGGGAGCGGCTTCTTATAATAGCCAAGTATCTGAGGTAATTAATAGTTTTGTAAACAAATGAAATACCTATGTGTTAGGTATATTTTTATTATATTTTTGAAAATTGTGTCTAGATACAAATTTTGTATGATATCATAGAAAGTAATTTAGACTTTAAAATGTTGAATGCTTTATTTATGCAAGTTAGACCTGTGTAAGTTGTATTTATTTATTAACTTTTTTATTTAATAAAAATGTTTACCCAATTTAAATCTTAATATTCTTATTGTAGAAATGTTGTAGTATGCAGTTTACAAGATGGAAGTTTTTTAAAACTTATTAAACAATTAGCTCACAATGGTAATACAAATATGTATTCTAGTCCAACTAATACTGATGATTATAAATCGGATGAAAAAGTACATATATTACCTAAACAATGTTTCAGTAAGTAACTATACATTATAAGTACCTACTTATAGCCTGTATAATATATCTACACATTATTTTGTGGTATATCTATCTATCTCTAAATTATAATCGATTATTTAAAGCAATATATAGGTAGGTATATATTATTAAAAATAATAAATTCATTTGATTTAATTACATTGATATTAAATGAAAATTATATACATTTATAATAAGAATGAATTTCACAATATATTTTTATAAGAACCTATTTTTTTGTTATAGAATATAATAATTAATAAATAATACACTATTTATAAATTTGCATACAACTTAATCAATTATTAATCTTTGTAATAGTTGAATTCAATTTTTTACACATAATGTAGTACCTATATAAAGTTATTTCACAAATTTAATATTATAATAAGGAAATAATAATAGTTATAATAATTAAATAAAAATTAACGGGGGGGGGGGGGAGAAGTTACAATTTACAAAAAGCCCCTGGCTACGCCACTATATATACATATGTATTAGTTTTATTTATCTAATTAATAAAAAATGTTTTTGTATTAATAAAAGTAGATATTAAATTTAGTACATTATTCTCATTTTTAGATTTTAAAACATGTGAACAATTAATTTTATCCATGTCATTGGCATCTGCTCCAAAAAATGAAAAATCACGCAAACTTTATATACGTGGTCTTGTAGATTTCACTCAAAAATTAGCTGTATGCGCATTAGGTGCATTACTACATTTCTTAGATACTCCATTGATAAAATTTAATTTACTAACCAACTTCACAATAATGTCATTAAGAATTCTTAACATGGATAATTTACTTTGGCTCGGTATTAGTACATATGAGTCACTACAAATATTTTCTGCACATGAACACCCATCTATATATAAATGGACCAAAACTTCAACTAAAGAAGGCCCAAGTATTTTTAGTTTATTGAATCGATGTAACTCAGTAATGGGTTCAAAGTTTTTAAAGAATATTTTAGCCCAACCTACCAAAAACCTTGATGTCATAAAATATAGACATGAATTTATAGAGTTTAGCATAAATCCTTGTAATGAAAGTGTAATACTAACATTGATTAATTGTATCAGACATTGCCGTTGTGTGTTAGTAAGTACTTTATTAACTTAATATTTTTAATTTATCTACTTATAATTATACTGGTTATAAAATTTAAGGTTATTAAATGGTATAATTTAATTAATATATTTAATACAGGAAAGATAAGTTTAAACTTTTGTGTATTATAAAATATAACATATTAAGTAAAATTATTTTTTTTTCATTAGAATTATATCATGCATTAATAAAATAACATTATATATTTTTAATATAATAATTTTAGTCTACTGTAGTAAAAATAAATAGCGGTAATGCTTCACTGTACCAATGGAAGTTATTATACCAAGTAAATATGTGTACAATAAATATTCAAATTAAATATTATAAAATAAATAAAATTTACAAATCATAACTAATTATTATTTACCTATTTTAATTTCAGACAGTTATAAACGCCGTAATAATTGGAGAAATTTGTGAAAAATATTCAGGACAAATAATATTTTTTACAAAGGTATATTATTGTATAAACAGGTTTAAATTAGATACTTGATTATTATTTTTTAAATATTGTACAATATACTTAAATATTTTAATGAGCTATTTTATAGTTCAAATTATAGCAGATTACTTCTAATATAATTATAGATTAAAGAAACATTAAAAGATAGTTTGTATACTATGGTTAATTCTATGTCGTGTATAATTGATTTTGAAAAATCTACTATACAAGAAAGATTTGTAGTGAAACCAGGATTCATACCAGAACTTGATGAAAGTATAGTAACATCTTTAAAATAACCTGTAGATTTTTAGATATTGTTAATAAATAGATACTATTTTATAGAAAAATCAAAAATTGAAAACATATCTGAACTATTGGATGAAATAACATTAAAAGAACTACAAGATTTACCTTCATACATTAATGAGTGTTCAATACGTAAAATGCCAGAAATTGGATTTTTATTGTGTCTTCCACTTTGGAAACCTTTTAATATGATGACTAAAAATGATTATGAAATTCAAAATTTGGAATTTAAGGTATATTACTATTTATTAATGTAGTAAATTGTTTAAAATATTGAATATCTTTGTATTGATTTTAGTTTCACTTGGCAGATAATCTATATTATAAAACTTCAAGATGTTATGGTTTGTACACTATTTATGTTTCGATGTGTGTTTGGTTTAATAGTATTTAAATAGCTTATATACTATATAATTAAAAACAACTAAGTTTTATGGGAAAAGAAACTAATTAATATGTTTTTCCCTTTTCCCTATCATGAGCATATTATATTACTCTGATAATCAGCAGTCTCCAACTTTTTTTTTGTTCCATACCTCTAAGTTTAATATTTTGTTAGATTGTACACCACATTATAATTTTTAAACTTTTTCACATAACTACTTTTAAAATATTTAAATAAAAATAACAAAACATTCTATATTTAATATCTATTAGATAATTTGACAGTTAAGTTTTAATTTGTGACATAAATTTTCATTTTTAATAACATATATTGAATATTTTTGAAACGAATCGCTTAAATAAACAAATTCAACATTTTTTGTCATTAGTTAATATTTATTCATGTACTTCTTGAAATTATGTTATATATTCCAGGTTGGGAACCGCTGTCATATACCTAAATTTATTAATTTTCTGTTTTGTAGCACAAGTATTCACAGGGAAATCCAGTGGATATTCGACTACTTCCCATAGTTATGCCTATAGCCTATAGGCAATGGCTATATAGTTTATTTAAAATTTATATTTTAAAACTAAGGTATCAGTGTTGTAAGCGATCTACTCTATCATAGTTTCTGAGTTCTACCTAATCTAAATCCACAAGTTGATAGAACGATAAATATGATTAAATACTTAATATAAATTACAATTTTTATTGAATATACTATAAAATTTTATTCTCATTTAATCAATTCTATGTTGACTGTTTGTGGAAAAATAGAATATAGAGTACTTATATTGTATTACAAAACTATTTGAGATGATAATGCTTCCACTTTGCTTGAAAGAGGAATGATAGAAATCTATACATACATTAATGAATTTTTAAACAATTTAAAAACTACCTTTTGTGAGTAAGTGAGTAATTAATACAGTAATAATATTTTTTTGAACAACTTTTTTTAAATTAATAAATAATAAAGTTTACTCTGATAATTTGAATAAGATATTTGTATATGCTTTTTGGTAGATTGCTTATGAATATGATAGTGATTTACACATAGATCGCTTACAACATTGTTACCAAAATTAGTAATTATGGATTTACATTGTTTATTAATAATTTTATTAGAACTAGATAAATATTTTGGTAAAATTGAATCAACTATTATTCAAGAAGAAATTCAAATCATGACAAAACTGTCAGAGCTTATTACTCAGCACTGGATAAGCGATCTGCATTTAATATTAAAATTAATTGCTGAATTAGATTGGTATGTTTGATACAAATATTTTTATTACTTTATGATAAGTTTATATTTTAATGATATATCAACACAAGTTAAAGTTTTTTATTTTTATATATTTAAACTATTAGTAAGCTACATTTGGTAATTCCAATAAAAAAATAAAATTGTTTTTTTTTTGTATTAATTTGCTTAAACTATGTATTACTTATATGATTAGTATTAATTATATTATATGAATCGATGATTGCAAAAATAACACAAGTCACATTTTTCTGAAACTTCATGAGTCAGAAAACTTTGAAAGTCAATAATACAAAAACATCATATTATTTACAAACGCAAATTATGTATAATCAATGCATAATATTATTTCTACAAGTATTCATTTTTAAATATGATTTTTTTTCAGAATTATTTAAATTATACACTTTTTATCAATTATCTAAAAGTTTTAAAAAATTGACTCATGTGTCATGTTCTTTCTGAAATCATCGATTCATATACAGGGTTCGGCAGTGAAACCGGATGATTTGAGGTGGGGGATAGAAGGTCGTAATATGGTGGGTAGTACGTTGTATGACAATCATCGTTATCACCACGGTCTACCATTTAGTAACAATGAATCGGTGGACAGGTAAATCCATTACCATAAATATGCTGCGAGAGGTCATGCAAAACTTTAAGTTCCGCCTACATGAATGCATAAACAACAATGGAGGTCATTTGGCAAACGTAGTGCATAAAAAATAGTATTTTTTTGTATTGAACATAAAATTGTAACTCTTATACTTTATATTTATATTTATATTTATTAAAATTAATTCATTCATTAAATAGTAATTAAGTATTGAAATCATCCCGTTTCACTGCCGGACCCTGTACATATTACATATGTTTTTTTTAAACAAGATATAAAGTTAATAGTAATATGTTATTAAACAATTAAATAATTATTATTTTAATATGTTTAGTTTGATAGGTTTTGCTGATGTTGCTAAAGATTTAAAATTAATAAAACCTAATATACTTCCTAAAGAACACTGTATAATAAATATAATTAATGGTCGTCATATTTTACAAGAAAAATATGTGGATAGATTTGTACCTAACAGTTATTATTCTTCTAAAACAAGTCAATCTATCAAAATTTTAACAGGATTTAATTCAAGTGGAAAAAGTATTTATTTAAAGCAGGTCCAACATTTTTGTAATCTTATGAATTTATTTTATCTTAATGAGCTCATTTCATGTAAGTATATATGTTAATAGGTAGCATTAATATCATATCTATGTCACATTGGATGTTATGTACCAGCTGAGTACACAGAAATAAGTATATTAGATCATATTCACACTAGAATTCAGTCAAATGAATCTGTAAGCTTTTTAATGTCAGCTTTTATGGTCGATCTAAAACAAGTTAGTATCAACATTTGAACAAGATTTATGAAAAATAAATATAAACCTAAAATAATCTGTTTAAATCAAAAAGAAAATAATTAAGTCATATGATTTATTTTAAACAAAAATAGATATCTGTAGCATTAAATGAATCAACATGTAGATCTCTCATAGTATTAGATGAATTTGGAAAAGGTACATCTGAAATCAATGGATTAGCTTTACTACTAGCAAGTATTAATCATTTTGTGCATAGACCTTTATATTTATTGCCTCACATCATTATTTCAACTCATTTTCATTCTTTGCCAAATCTTCTTCAACAAATTATAAATAGCGATATAATCAATGACAATATAAAAGTAAGTATATAATAATCAACAATATTATAAAACAATAAAAATAAATATAGTAAATTAAAAGAATTATTCAATTAGTTTTTTAAATAAATTTATTCTGTTTAGTACCTACACATGAGCTATACAATAGAATGCTCAAAAATAGTATGCTTGTATAAAGTAATCAATCAAATAAAAAACCAAAATATGAGTATGGCTCACAGTGTAGCAGCACAGAATGGTTTACCAACATGTATTGTTGAAAGAGCTACTGAAGTATAAAATAATGTTTATTAACTCATAAGTTATTTATTCTTATTTAAATATAAATTAAATTATATATCAGGTTCTTCTATCTATTCAACACGAGGAATGTATAAGTCCAGTAACAGAAAACCTCAGATATAAATTATTTCATAGGTATTGTCATGAAAATAGTTTTATTCAAAATATAATTTGTAGTTCAACATTTATATTAAAAAAAATTATAAAACTTATTTTTATAACAGATCCCTGTCCAATTTTATTTATGTTCAATGTTATGAGTCATAATTTATGACTTATAAGTTTATGATCAATAATTGTATTGGGGCTAATGGCACAACATTTCACAAAGATTTTTAATCTTATGACACTGCATGACACCTATACTTGTAAATAAAAGTTTTATTATGTAAAAATTAGGATAAAAGTTTTTACTAAAGCACATGAATAATGAATGTCTAATCACAGAATTTTAAGATATGTGCTTGGGATAGAAACTTAATTTAGTTTCAAGACTATTGATCATTTTTTTCAATATTTATTTTAATGAGTATTTATTTATTTATTTTTTGTTTAATTAGGAGAAAATATTTTATTGAAAAAGTACTCGAACTAATGCCAAACAACATTACAGATGATGCTTTTAAAGACTTAGTAGATGATATGGAAAATATAAGGTATCCATAAAAATGTTCAAATAAAGCTTAATCATTTTGTTATATTCCTCATTCAAACTTTAACAACTTATAGTATGTTAGTATAAAATGTAAAAACAATTGAAATATTAACATATGAAATTTAATTCCAGCTTATATCTATTTCTTAGTAACTAATAACTAAATATTATTACATTAATTCTATAGAACATTGGACGGGACTGTTCATAATATAGGATTATTTTATTAGTCTAATGTCTTAACATAATATTGAAACACTAGATACTAATAATATTAAGTTATAAAGTTTTATCCATACATTTAAAATATTGTTAACTAATAAAAAAAATATATGTATAAAAATTATTTTCATTAAAATGTATACTGGGTAACTTATTAAAATTAAGAAATATATTTATATTTGTTACATTATAAATTATAATCAATGCATCTAAAGATCTGAACAATAATATAAAATTTAATGATATAAGTCATAACAAACTTAATTAAGAACATTTGGAATAATTTTATAGTTTATATAATATAGAAGTATTAATTAAAATCTAAGTTTTTTGATTTTAAACAGAAAATGTATTCAAAATTGCAACTCTATATTGTTTAAGTCAAAATATATTAGTAATTGTTTAACTTCTCCAATTATAATCAAAGACCAAGTATATTTTATTTTATTATTATAATTTATAACATATAAAATCTCAACAAAAAAAGAAAAAATGTATATTATATATAATATGTGTTGATAAAATTATATACTTGGAATATAATAATAGGAATTGATTTCATTAGGGTAAATGTGTGATGACATTAATGAACAGTTTTGAAATATTTAAAGTTATATTAAAAATATAATAATAATAACATTATGATAATTATAACAAATCAAATCTTGACAAAAGATAAAAACTAATTGTAATAATAATTAATAATAAGTGATGATAAATCATAAATTTGGAATATAATAGTAAGAATTGATCCCATCTAGGTAAATGCAAGATTATAACACTGATAAATAGAATTGGTATATACATGACCACAATAAAAAAATATATAATAATACCATAACACTGTTCAAGTAGAAATAAACTAAATTTATGAATAAACTAATTTATTTTAAAATAAGTAGTTAATAAAAAAAAAAAATACTAACAACTATGGTAAATAGGATAAATAATTAAATTATTAATAACCTTTGGTTGTATTTAGTAATAATGGATAACTTTTTTCTCGTTTTCAATATATTATGTTGATGTAACACCTCTTCGAGCAACTAATAAATTTAGTATTTTATGTTTCTTAATATAATCCACAGCTTTTTTATGAGTTACCATCGTAAAATCATATCCATTACACTATAAGACAATTTTAGAAAATGTTAATTTGATTATTAATACTTAACTATTATAGTTCTATACTAAAAATAGGTACTTGTAATATTTTATCATGTATTCGTAATCCAGACCTAGATGCAGGACTTCCATCATGTACTTCAGTTACATAAATACCCTTAAAAGTTAAAATTGTTACATGGTTAACCTAGATACATTAAATTTCCAACAAATTTTTAATTCTTACATTATCTGTATATCCTTGAGGACTTTTTCGAAAATCTTGATCAATGCCTCCACCAATTTTAAACCCACATTTCAATAATTCACGACCATCAGTATCAATTGCAGATTCTTTTGTTAAAGTAATAGGTATCTAAAATGATAGGTAGTAACACATACACTTATAAGTTAAATATATTAAATTTTTGTACATACTTTAAAGTTAATACATAGTAATAAATGTATTTTAAATTTTAATAAATACTTACACTAAGGCACTCCATGGCGGTGCCAGGTTGATGCGTGAATGCCATTTTAGCACACATTGTTTATTATTTTTGATTAACAGTGCTTGATGGGAAATTTGAGGGACAAAACCCTTTAAATATCAAAATTATTTCTTTAAACACAAATTTCGTTGTTAGTTGTCACAATAAGAGAGAAATTGAATAGATCATAGAATTATAGTAACCTAAGCGGTCGTAGTATCAAGCTCTAAGATATACTAAATTACTAACTTGTAACAAATAATTATTAAGTATGGACTATCGACTGACGAGTGACGACTACTCACTAAGTTACAACAGTGTGTCACTCAGTCACTGTGACTGTGATGTGATTATCAAGTATATCACGGTGACGTCATACGATTACTAAATCTTATCACTAATCAAACGTTGTTTTGTAAAAAAATCTGTATAACAATCTACAGCCGTGAATAGTGGTTGAGTATGATTATACACTATGGTTTATGGCCTATGCCTCTATGAGTATATTATTGTATGACTATTTATATTGGTACTAACTGCTTGTATAACTCGATTTCTGCGTTTTTTTACTTATTTTCAAAGTTATGACTTATGGCCTTTTAAACTTTCAAGTATGTTATCATTTATGCAGTAAACCATAAAACTGCTACAACAATCAAAAAAAAAATCACCGACTAAATCTAACTGATTTGCTGATTCTTAATTAATGACGTAATGGATAACCTTCGGATGCAAAAATGTGTTCAATAAACTTCTTACACATTTCTTTTTCGAGTTCTCTTGACTTATTTTTTAGGTAAACACTATATATTTGCTAATAAGTAACTTAATAATACATTATTATGTACCTATTTAATTTCAATACTTATTTAAATAAAAATACTTAATTTTAATCTTATGTAGGTACCTACCTAACCACCTAAGTATGTTTAATTAAAACAATATGTCAACACTATGGGCAAGATAGTTATGCATATTTTATGCGACTAAAATTATTATGTTACCTATTTAATATCATTTCAGTTATCTGAGGAGCTGTTTTTTATCCTTTTATTTATACTTACTTTGCACGATAAGTCGAGAAATAATTTCGATTTAAATGTCCGAGTGAACGTATAACTCAACTTGATAAACAGTTGTGTTTAAAAATAACTGTTTTTTACTCGCTAATTGGTTTTATTTAAATAGAAAACAAAGTAGGTACCTACCTATTTATATTATAAAATATATTTTACAAATCATGGCTTCTTTATATTCCAGTAAATGCTTACCACACTTAAAACGATCGGGAATAAATTCACCTCGTTAAATAAGGGATAGTTACCCACTTTACCCTGTATGGCCTGCAACTGGAAATTTAATTTTCAAAATGCATATAGACATTATAAATTGATGACGCAAGTTGCTGTTTTAAATTATATGCCAGGATAACCGTCAGGACTTAAGGATAAATGAAGAATCTTAAGGATAAAACACTGCACCGAGATATTAAATGTAAACTTACTATGGTTACTTAACTCCAAGAATTTTCATGCAAGACAAATAAAAACAAACAAGAAAAGGAGTAAAATAGATACCTACCTATGTAACCGTTTTGCTGTAGGTACAATATATTATGCGCAAACTATATATAACCGTATTTTCATTGAGACATTGAGTCTATGGTGTATGTAAAGTGTAAGTACTTCATCATTGGGGAATACATTTCTGTGTGCAGACTAAATGCCTGTAATTTATGTGGTTATGTTTAAATTCAATGACACATTTTTCATACAAAAAATGATCCTGAGCAAAGACGGTTTATCAGCCTATATTAGGCTGTTGGTACTTATAGAAGCAGACTAGTTTAATTTATGATTTAATAACTGCTTGTGTTACTATTAAAGTAATTAATTTTATTATTTGTAATACAATAAATTGAAATAATTTATTTTAAAAACATTGCATTTAAAAATATCGTGACATCGATGTCTATAAAATATAATGCCATATTATGTTATAAAAATTTCAAGTATCCACTAATAATATTTTAAATGGTTTAAACAATTTATAACTTAATCCGTACTAAAATATAATATATTAATATAATATGCGTAATAAGTTATAAAAATATAAAATAAAATAAAAAGGGCATAATATGAAGGTGAGGTGTGTGTACCTATAGTGTCACTATATGTTTAATTAAATAGGTAGGTACTAAAAATTATATAATGGAGCATTAATTTGAAATGAAACGTTTGGTAATTTGAAGTTTATTCATTAAATGTATTTCTTCTAATCTTTTCAATGATAATTTACCATACAATCGTGAAGAAATTTAGCTTATTATTTTTAATACCTAACTATAGAATTATTATTGTAAGCATTTTTATTTCTTAATCGTCTGTTAACAATAATAGTTTAATTCATATAGATAGTATGTACATAGTTTAATTTAAATTTTAAAAATAATAAATAGCTATAATACCACCTAATTTTCTAAAATATTTAATATAGTTATGTGTGTACAATAATAAAAAAACATTTTTTTTTTTTTAAAAGAACGCCACATCTGCATGTGTTATCTACGTCTTATACATACATACAACATAGCAAATTTTCGTTCAGTAGAATTCATTTTATGTTGATAGCTTTAATATTAAAGTAAATTTACTTATTATCAGATTTAAAAGTAAGAATTTTATCTAAGCTATTATATAAACTTTTATTAATATTATATTTTAAAGTGAGTTATAAGCATTTTAAAGTTTTAATATTTTATATAGCTATAACTCGCGGTTTAAAATTAAAATGTCAATAAAAACCAATGTGATGGCTTAGATAAAATTCTTACCTTTAGATTTGATAATACGTAAATTTACTCTAATATTAAAGTTAACAACATCAAATAGATTCTGCTGAATGAAAATTTGCTGTTTTGTATGTATGTAAGATGGAGATAACACATGTGGGTGCGGTGTCCTCTTAACTCTCTGCAGTAATTCGACATTTTTCTAAAGTCTCGCCAACTTCGAATTATCGAGAGTCAACTGTATTTCTTTAATTAGTTGTGTTGATTTTAAAATTTAGATGTTATAATGTTAATTTTGTGTAATCTATGATAATGTTAATCAATTTGTAAAGACATTTTGAATTTAACACTTGAATAGTTTATGTAAATGTATAATATAGTAAAATTATCAGTCAGCATTCAGCGTGAAGTTTTCTATGTACATTTCCTCGGAGGCATGAAAATCGTAAGTAATTATTGTTTGTATTTTATAAATATTATAGCCTATAGGTATTTGATTTAGAACGCATCATAATAAATTTATATAGGTATTCTGCGTAGGAATAAACTATAAGGCAAAGTATACAGTGATTTAAATGTATGTCACAATTAAAGTCATACTCTTCAAAAGCCTTATAGTTTAATTAAAGTTTTAGAGTAATACTTTTTATACGTAAACAAAAATTTAGTTTCAAGTCAAAAGTAATGCTCAGGTACCTAATTTATTTTATATTTTACTGAAGTTAATTATGTGTTAAAATTGGTTTTCCGTTAAAAGTTTTCTTCGATTATTTTAAAGAATTCTATTCATTAGTTTTGAATCCTGTTCAAAGTACCAAATAGATCCAATTTTTTACCGAAGCGAGTTATTTAATGACATACATAAAGAGACGATGACAGACTTTAATTTTTTTTCTCAAACACTCATCGTTCCGTTTGCAGAAAATCTAATAAAATACTAATGAATAATATAAATAATTAGAAGGATGAATTTGATCGTATTTTTTCAATTGTCCGCGCTTATTACGTACCGATTTTTCGTAACGATGCGGATCATTAAGACACCTACGACGAATGCTATTAATAGGACCGTCGCAGAAACAATTGCGACACCCCTGCAATAAGAGAAGGTGACGCCGGTGAACAGCAGTAACTGACCGCCGCGGCCGTCTTTTCGGACTTCGACAAACTTTTTGTGCACGTCACACGCGTACCCTCCGTCACCGCCCACGGTCACCTCGACGCGTCGAAGCTGGTCGAGAACAGTGGCCGTGGTCGAGGAGGTAGGCGTGCACACGATCCCGTGCCGTGACACGGACACGACGTGACACCGCCCGTCGAATTTCGAAATCGGACCGTCACGTCGTGCCGCGTAGCCCCCTGTCGGCCAACGCCGACGGGCCGCTGCAGCAGCATCTATCGCGATGCGCCGTCGCGGATCTCGAAACGACGCAGAGGATCGGCGTACACGGAAAACAGACCGCGAACGGCGGTGCGGACGACGCGTCGCTGCAGGCAAGTCGAGGACGGCCGCCGCCAGTTCCGCGCGACACCAATCCGGCAAGCGCGCGGGTACGTTTGCGGCGGACGGCGCTGCCCATGTCGGCCGAACGACACTCCATGCACGTGTCGCTGACCGCAGCGCGGCGCGGTGTGCCGGTATCGGACGCCGTCGTCGTGCGCGTAAAGTGCGGTCCGCCACGCACGAGAACGACGCACCAGCGCGTACCGCCGTGCCGCCGAAACCGCTGCCGACGGCATCTGTTCCGCGTCAACGCCGCGTCGCCGTCGCACACCTCCTGGCGGGACTTTGGACATGTTGATCCGGACCGCCGTCGAACTGGACCTTCACTGGGCTCACGGCCCAGGCGTCCGCGATAACGGTCGTCGTGGGCCGCGGCTGTCCGGCAGACGGTGTGTGCCGGTCGCGCGACACCGTGTCGACGCCATGACCGACATGCTGTCCCGGTCCGCGGCACGGACCGCGACGCGTGTGCCGGTGTCCAGAATCGGCCGCGCCTGCGTCAACGCGGTGTCGCCGGGCGGGCCCAGGTCGGACGCGACCATCGCTCAGGATCGACAAACGGCCGTTTCCGACGATCTGAGCGCAATCTGCTTGTCGCGACGACCGCGACGGCACGACGACGACGTGTAACGACTTCGGGGACCCCGGCGGCTGGCTGCGGCGCCAACTGCAGTCACCGAACCGCGGCACGGAGCAGGTTATCGTCCGGTCGTCGTGTCACCGGGTCTCGCACGTGACGTCCGGCCACCGACACCGCCCACCGTTCTGTTTTCGACCAACATCCGGTGGTTTCGGACGGTTATCGTCATCGCGGTGTTCCACTGCCCGTTCGCGGCGCGTACAGCGGCCGCGACAGGATACCGATATCGGCGACCGTAGCGCACCGCGTCGTCGTCCCCACCACGCCGCCGCCGCGCCGCTGTCGGCGAAGCAATCTTTGTTATCATCCGCGTCCCGCTTGTCGTAGACCCAAGCCGATCCGTGCGGGTTTCCGGTCGGACATTTCAAAAGCCTGTAGCCTCCATCGTTCCACAGGCACGTCGCGCAATC